TAGTTGTACTCACCTAGTTGTGTTTGCGGGGGTTGAGCTCTGGCTCTTTGGTCCCGCCTCTCAACCGTCAATCAACAGGTGTACAGATTCCTGAGCCTATCGGGCTCTGTCATATCTACACTTGAAACTGTGTATGGAGTCAGCCTCCACCACATCACCCCCTAATGCATTCCATTTGTCAACCACTCTGACACTAAAAAAGTTATTTCTAATATCTCTGTGGCTCATTTGGGCACTCAGTTTCCACCTGTGTCCCCTTGTGCGTGTTCCCCTTGTGTTAAATAGACTGTCTTTATCTACCCTATCAATCCCCTTCAGAATCTTGAATGTGGTGATCATGTCCCCCCTAACTCTTCTGTCTTCCAGCGAAGTGAGGTTTAATTCCCGTAGTCTCTCCTCGTAGCTCATACCTCTCAGCTCGGGTACTAGTCTGGTGGCAAATCTTTGAACCTTTTCCAGTTTAGTCTTATCCTTGACTAGATATGGGACTCCATGCTGGGGCTGCATACTCCAGGATTGGCCTGACATATGTGGTATACAAAGTTCTGAATGATTCTTTACACAAGTTTCTGAATGCCGTTCGTATGTTGGCCAGTGTGTGTGTGTGTGTGTGTGTGTGTGTGTGGTGTGTGTGTGTGTGTGTGTGTGTGTGTGTGTGTGTGTGTGTGTGTATGTGTGTGCGTTCGTTTACACACATAAATATTAGACAATTTATCTATGGACAGTTTATGACTGACATATACATAAAGCAGCAATACATTGCGAGGCGCCAGACATACTAGTCACGCTCTGTTTTATCACAGCGTAGTGTTGGCATGGCTCTAATTATACATACATCAACTCTAATGACGAGACCTGCTTATTCGTGCGGGTTGACTGCCTAATTGTACACTGTTTGTCATCAAGGGATTATATATATATATATATATATATATATATATATATATATATATATATATATATATATATATATGTATATATATATATATGTATATATATGTATATATATGTATATATATGTATATATATGTATATATATGTATATATATGTGTATGTATATATATATATATATATATATATATATATATATATATATATATATATATATATATATGTATGTATATATATGTATGTATATATATATGTATGTATATATATATGTATATATATGTATGTATATATATGTGTATGTATATATATATATATATATATATATATATATATATATATATATATATATATATATATATATATATATATATAATATGTGTATATATATATATATGTGTGTGTGTGTGTGTATATCACGAAAATAAACACGTGATTAAGAATGTGACAATGTCAGACCACGGAGGAAAATGAAACAGGAATTTCCTTAATTACTTTCGTATATTAAATACATCTTCAGAAGGAATGATGTATTTATGATGAAAAATGAATGATGAAAAATTTGAAAAATAAAAAAATGCTGAACACGTAGCAAGATTTTTTTAATTTTTCAAATGTGTTTTTTCCTCATACTTGGATCAGTGTTTGTAATCGTTGTTGCATCAGGCCAGTTATCTTCCACTGATTTCATAAGGGTGGCCATAGGTGCCGACCCCAACCCACCTGTGTTGGTGACACACCCCTCTCTTTGTCACCCTGCAAAGTTGCAAGAGGCTGACCCCCAAGTGTCTGGCGTCTCTTACAGATATAGAGACCTCGTATCCTACCCTCATTTCCCTGCCTTACCTTGAGGTTACCTTGAGGAGCTTCCGGGGCTTAGCGTCCCCGCGGCCCGGTCGTCGACCAGGCCTCCTGGTTGCTGGACTGATCAACCCTGCTCATATCCTATCACTACCTTCTTTCCAAGCACCATATGATCACAGGAGCTTGGCCTTGTCTCCTGTAAGGTATCTTACCTCTCAATATCTTCCCTCAGGTAGAGCGAGCGGGGCTGTACTTCAGATTCCAGGTGCGGGTCTAGCGAATACAGTGTAGTGTAGGGCCAGTATATGCAGTGTAGCGCATGTAGGGCACAAACTGTATCCTTGAATTGGTATTCAGTATTCATGTTTACCTTTGCGTATGCTGCTGCTACTGTCTGCTGCTTGTGTAGACTGTTGTGTATATTTCTTAATTATTTTCTTCTGATGCTGTTGTTAGTGGGCGGCCTGGTGCTGTTGTTAGTGGGCGGCCTGGTGCTGTTGTTAGTGGGCGGCCTGGTGCTGTTGTTAGTGGGCGGCTGGTGCTGTTGTTAGTGGGCGGCCTGGTGCTGTTGTTAGTGGTGCTGTTGTTAGTGGGTGGCCTGGTGCTGTTGTTAGTGGGCGGCCTGGTGCTGTTGTTAGTGGGCGGCCTGGTGCTGTTGTTAGTGGGCGGCCTGGTGCTGTTGTTAGTGGGCGGCCTGGTGCTGTTGTTAGTGGGCGGCCTGGTGCTGTTGTTAGTGGGCGGCCTGTTGTGTGGGCGGCCTGTTGTTAGTGGGCGGCCTGGTGCTGTTGTTAGTGGGCGGCCTGGTGCTGTTGTTAGTGGGCGGCCTGGTGCTGTTGTTAGTGGGCGGCCTGGTGCTGTTGTTAGTGGGCGGCCTGGTGCTGTTGTTAGTGGGCGGCCTGGTGCTGTTGTTAGTGGGCGGCCTGGTGCTGTTGTTAGTGGGCGGCCTGGTGCTGTTGTTAGTGGCGGCCTGGTGCTGTTGTTAGTGGCGGCCTGGTGCTGTTGTTAGTGGGCGGCCTGGTGCTGTTGTTAGTGGGCGGCCTGGTGCTGTTGTTAGTGGGCGGCCTGGTGCTGTTGTTAGTGGGCGGCCTGGTGCTGTTGTTAGTGGGCGGCCTGGTGCTGTTGTTAGTGGGCGGCCTGGTGCTGTTGTTAGTGGGCGGCCTGGTGCTGTTGTTAGTGGCGGCCTGGTGCTGTTGTTAGTGGGCGGCTGGTGGTGCTGTTGTTAGTGGGCGGCCTGGTGCTGTTGTTAGTGGGCGGCCTGGTGCTGTTGTTAGTGGCTGGTGCTGTTGTTAGTGGCGGCCTGGTGCTGTTGTTAGTGGGCGGCCTGGTGCTGTTGTTAGTGGGCGGCCTGGTGCTGTTGTTAGTGGGCGGCCTGGTGCTGTTGTTAGTGGGCGGCCTGGTGCTGTTGTTAGTGGGCGGCCTGGTGCTGTTGTTAGTGGGCGGCCTGGTGCTGTTGTTAGTGGGCGGCCTGGTGCTGTTGTTAGTGGGCGGCCTGGTGCTGTTGTTAGTGGGCGGCCTGGTGCTGTTGTTAGTGGCGGCCTGGTGCTGTTGTTAGTGGCGGCCTGGTGCTGTTGTTAGTGGGCGGCTTGGTGCTGTTGTTAGTGGGCGGCCTGGTGCTGTTGTTAGTGGGCGGCCTGGTGCTGTTGTTAGTGGGCGGCCTGGTGCTGTTGTTAGTGGGCGGCCTGGTGCTGTTGTTAGTGGGCGGCCTGCGTTGTTAGTGGGCCTGGTGCTGTTGTTAGTGGGCGGCCTGGTGCTGTTGTTAGTGGGCGGCCTGGTGCTGTTGTTAGTGGGCGGCCTGGTGCTGTTGTTAGTGGGCGGCCTGGTGCTGTTGTTAGTGGCGGCCTGGTGCTGTTGTTAGTGGGCGGCCTGGTGCTGTTGTTAGTGGGCGGCCTGGTGCTGTTGTTAGTGGGCGGCCTGGTGCTGTTGTTAGTGTGCGGCCTGGTGCTGTTGTTAGTGGGCGGCCTGGTGCTGTTGTTAGTGTGCGGCCTGGTGTGTAGTGGGCGGCCTGGTGCTGTTGTTAGTGGGCGGCCTGGTGCTGTTGTTAGTGGGCGGCCTGGTGCTGTTGTTAGTGGGCGGCCTGGTGCTGTTGTTAGTGGGCGGCCTGGTGCTGTTGTTAGTGGCGGCCTGGTGCTGTTGTTAGTGGCGGCCTGGTGCTGTTGTTAGTGGCGGCCTGGTGCTGTTGTTAGTGGGTGCGGCCTGGTGCTGTTGTTAGTGGGCGGCCTGGTGCTGTTGTTAGTGGGCGGCCTGGTGCTGTTGTTAGTGGGCGGCCTGGTGCTGTTGTTAGTGGCGGCCTGGTGCTGTTGTTAGTAGGCGGCCTGGTGCTGTTGTTAGTGGGCGGCCTGGTGCTGTTGTTAGTGGGCGGCCTGGTGCTCTTGTTAGTGGGCGGCCTGGTGCTCTTGTTAGTGGGCGGCCTGGTGCTGTTGTTAGTGGGCGGCCTAGTGCTGTTGTTAGTGGGCGGCCTGGTGCTGTTGTTAGTGTGCGGCCTGGTGCTGTTGTTAGTGGGCGGCCTCGTGCTGTTGTTAGTGGGCGGCCTGGTGCTGTTGTTAGTGGCGGCCTGGTGCTGTTGTTAGTGGGCGGCCTGGTGCTGTTGTTAGTGGCGGCCTGGTGCTGTTGTTAGTGGCGGCCTGGTGCTGTTGTTAGTGGGCGGCCTGGTGCTGTTGTTAGTGGGCGGCCTGGTGCTGTTGTTAGTGGCGGCCTGGTGCTGTTGTTAGTGGGCGGCCTGGTGCTGTTGTTAGTGGCGGCCTGGTGCTGTTGTTAGTGGGCGGCCTGGTGCTGTTGTTAGTGGCGGCCTGGTGCTGTTGTTAGTGGACACTTTTAGGTACGACATTCCCTTGCAGTACATTCTGTCCATAGTAATTTTAGGTACCATTATTTCTATAGGGGTGAGTTGCAGTGCAGTGGCTGAAACACTTCGTACTCGTCTTGCATGCTGATGGACTGGGGTTCGCATCCCTCAAAAGGTGTTACCGTATTCAAAGTTGATGGATTATGGATCAACCTTGAACAATCAGACGAGTTATGTTGTTTTAGAGCTAATGTTTGTGTGTTTGAAGTTATGAGTTGAAGAATGGGCGTTAGTAGCTGTTTAGCTGACAAGAGGTACGTATTAGGAACATGCTGATTATGCCTACTGTATCGCCCACGCCCGCTGTACCGCCCACGCCCATCTGTACCGCCCCCTGTACCGCCCACGTCCCCTGTACCACCCCCTGTACCGCCCACGTCCCCTGTACCACCCCCTGTACCGCCCACGTCCCCTGTACCGTCCACGGACTCCTGGTCAACGGAGCTCTAATCATTCCTCCCACAGCGTTCAGCACGGCGAGCATCCTGGCGCTGCGGACGCCGACGCTGGCGGAGGAGCTGCAGGAGGCGGAGTCCGGGGTCGCGTCGAGGAGCTCCACGCCCGACGCCCTCACCCTCATCAACACACACTCCAAGCCCATCCTCGTACTCAAGTGCCACTCCTACATCAGAGGTGAGTGGGTCTCTCTCTCTCTCTCTCTCTTAGAACTATTATCCTGCATCAGCTCACTCAAAGCCTCATCCTATAAACGTATTGATTTTAAAGATTCATATTTTCCATTGGGAATAAACTTAATGTTGAGTTAGTTATATTAGGGACAGTATGAGCTAGGAGTCAACAGTGGCATAGAGCCTTCTAATGCACCGTTGTCTCAACCGTTGTTTTTCAATGTGTTTTTTCCCGCATACTTGGATCAGTGTGTTTGTGATTGATGTTGCATCAATGTCAGACCCCGAAGGAAAGATTAAGACAGGAATTTCCCCAAGTACCTCCTTATTTATTAATAAATCTTCAGAGGGATAGATTTACAACTCAGTGGTTGCTATTTTGAAAAACACATTGAAGTTGCAAAATCAAGTAAACGTTCTGTTTTCAAAAACTTATATACAACAAAAATAAACTTTCATCCCGCCATTCATTCTGACTGGAACAGTTCTCTGATGGATGAAATCTACTGTGACCTACGTAGAAAAACACATCAGTTATAGAATATTCTAAAACGTAAGTTAGAAAGGCTGAAAAAAAATAGTGATTGGACAAAGAAATATAATCCAAACAATATGATGAATTTGTCCGCTAAATCGATAAGTGAAAATGCGGTTACTGCTTTTGGTTATGGTTTGTCATGTGCCATTTCAAATCAATCCTCTGTGGTTATAATTGTGGTGATAACTGTATAATTTACAAAATCCTTTGTAAAAACTGTAATAGATTCCATATAGGGCAAGCCTCCAAAGATTTGAAATTTAGAATTTCGCAACATAAATACTCTGTAAGACATGGCTAATTGTCTAATGCTTTATTTGTTCATTTGTCAGAATGTTCTCACCAAATTGATTAGGAGATGGCTTCTTCAATAACAAATTGTAAAATCATTTTCAATAGAAACATTATTGAATCTGCTTTAATACAGATTATAAAATCTTATAATATGAACATTAGTAGTGGTGTCTATAATTTAGATACGTTTTGATTGGTCAGTTAAAGAGTGATTTGAGTGGGATCATTGGTAATATTTATCTCAATAATACCTTGTTAATATCCCCTTATCTCAGTAAAGACATATTTTGTCTCGTCTCACCTCTGGTAGCTGGAACAAAGAAGGTGGTTTGAGTATTGGATATAGAAAATCAAGGGTTATGATGTACCTTGGGTGACAATTTATTACTGAATCAAAAAAGGTAGAAGTAATCGAGATTTTTGGAATGGAGAAGGAGCTGGATAAAATGTGTAATGCTTGAACAAGTGAGAAAGTAAACAAAAATGAGTTTATAGTGCAGACTTAATGCTGCAACAATAGAAGAGAAGGATATATGGAGGTGTTGTATCATTCGAAGGACTGGCACGAAGGTGGAAAGTTTGAACAGAGACGAAGGAAGCATCAGGTTTCTTGACAATTTGATTGGCTGGAATGAAGGTAGAAAGATAGTTTAGAATAGAAGTTAAATGCAGGTTCTGGCATTGCTTATTACCCATAACACAGTTCAATATCAAAGTAAACTCTCACTGTATACACACATAGTTGTAGGACACACATCACGGTGTATATACTCCTGGTATATCCGTTATCTGTAACTGCTGACAGAGTTTGCTTTACTGTATTCTCATCATTCAAATTATACCCAATATATATCAATATAAAACTCACCATTGTAATTGTAACCTACAGTTACAAGTATTTTTATAGCTGTACGCATGTCCGCAAAAACCACAACTGTAATGATTTGAATAAATCACTTATGAATAAAGCTTCTAAATGAAAAGCTACATCACCTTCCCGTTTTCTGTGGCCCGCTGACTAAGCTTCTCCCAATGGCCACCAGATGACAGCAGCAGCCCAGACTCCGAGCTCCGGTTGCCAATCAACGACATCGACTCCGGAAACTCGACTCAACACTCTCCGGATGGTGCCAAATCTATGTCGCCCCAGGCCACTGTTAATGGTAAGTGCCAGGATCTAGGAATTTAAGGGGGTGGAAGGGCACAAGTTGCTTATTTTGGCTCAAACAGACTCACTCAGCCCACCGCAACCTCTCACGATAGCCAACGTTCAGTTCTAAGAATTCCCGTCTTCCTCACTCCAGGGTCGCTATCTCCCATGTCCCCGGGGTCTGCGGGCGTGCCCTTTCCCCAGCTGGAGCTGCTCGAGGCAACCCACAGGGGACTCTACCGCTTCATCCCCCGACACCACGACGAGGTCGATATCGAGATAGGCGACCCCATCTACGTCCAGAAGGAGGCCGAAGACCTGTGGTGTGAAGGTAAGGTCACCGGTGTTCGCTCCAGCGGGGGTCTACGACGGCGTTGCGGGTTAGAAAGTTCCTATTTGTTATATCTGATGGCGACAGGGAGCTATTTCTTGTCTGAGGGAGGCGGCAGTGAGCTATTTGTTGTGGCTGATGACGTCAGGGAGCTATTTGTTGTGTGGGTCCCTTATGGGCAAGTTAATACTAAAGACCAAGTTCCTAAAGTTACAAACTTTAGGAACTTGTTATATATTTTGCTACATGTGTTCATGTCTTGTAGTCTCTCGCGCCGAACGTCCCCAAGAGTTGCCAGACCGCCACACTAAAGAAACAGGTTGGGTAGATTCTCAAGTGCAAAATTCCACTTGCATATGCAAGTGGAATTTTGACACACATTGAAGAGATAACAAATAGTGATAATGTTGATGTACCATTTGTCTTTTATACACATATACGATGAATGAGGGTGGGGACTTGTCATAATATAACCCGCAATAACTATGCTGAGGTATAAAATGCTTCTAATTATAGGCGAAATATTCTGCATGTTAGCTATAATGACTATAAGAATGAAGAAGACACCCTAAGACTGTTAACCAACCGGCATAAATAATACAAATGCATGAGATACGTATCTATAATTGACTCATAGGATCCCACAAACAATAAATGGTTCATAGTACCCTACAAGCAGTCTGTTTAGTACCTATTAATCTATTTAGGCCTTGCTTCATATATACAATACATAATGACCTGTATGTAGGTAGAAGAGCTAGTATTCTCAAAGCACTTACGTGTCCTCTTACGAGATCCGTGTCCCTTAACTTGATCATGGCAGCCTAGTTTTTTTATTTACTAAACACTTTACGAGCTCAGGATCAGCGCTACGAGGTCACCCTTAACCCAAGGTCATTGTTGTTACAGCCAACGTCTTAGCGCTTTGGCACTCTTAAACTGTTTAATAAATACCGAATAAGCTTCCCCCTAAGATGGAGATGGGTTGAGATCTCGTAAGTAGATGTATGTGGTGTATTCAAGCTGTGATTTAAGACGTTTGTTTACGTTTACATCTGCTAGGTGTAAACATCCGGACGGGCCGCCAGGGCATCTTCCCGGCTGCCCACGTGACGGACGTCGACTATTCCGACTTCGACCCCACGGTCCCCAAAGTGAAGAAAGAGCGTTACCTCCTCAACTACCTGGGCTCTATAGAGACCCTTTGTCACAAGGGCAACCAGGTAAGGCCAGTACATCGCACTCAAGCAGGTCGAGTGAGTGAGTGAGTGAGAGAGAGCACTCAAGTGCAGAAGGTAGTGACGGAGGTGGCGTGAGAAGTAGCGCGCATGTGTACGATAGTGAGAGGGGGATTATTGAAAGAGATGTGTAGTGGGTTCGACAGTGAGGATGAGAGAGAATGAGTGACAGAACTCAGCTATGTGCGATATGAAAGGAGAGTGATTGACACCACTCAGCTGTGCGACAGGAGGTGAGAATGAGTGACTGCACTAAACTGCTAAATTTTCTGTTAGTACATTGGTATTTCAATGAAATAATAATAATAATAATTATTATAAGAAGGAAGGAATTATCCGGGGAAAGTGCCAAATCATTACGACTATATAGCACAGGGATGGGGGTCACGATAAGGATTTGGGATGGGACGGGAGGAAGGAATGGTACCCAACCACTTGGACGGTCGGGGGATTGAACGCTGACCTGCATGAAGCGAGATCGTCGCTCTACCGTCCAAGATGCATTATTCTCTTCTGCCTTTAACCCTGTAACAGGTACTGTGTCAGGCAGTGAGGAAGATCGCAGGAGGGGAGGAGTCGGCGCACCTTCCTCACCCTTGCATCCTGGAGGTGTCCGACCAGGGGATCAGGATGGTGGACAAGAGGAGGCCTACGGTAGGCTGACCCCACTACCACCTTCCTTTCTCTCTTGTTATACAGAGAAATACCAATAAAATGACTTTATTATGACCTTATAACTTTATTCTCGTCTTTGTGTTTCTCTATGCTATATGTTTGTCATTCTTTGTCTCCTGTGTTCTTACTTCTGTTCGCTTCTTTTATTCTTGCTATTCCATTTTCCTATACTTTTTCGTTTGTTATTAATTATCATATACCCCACATGTTTTTGGTTTCTTCATATATCGTGAATTATCATATTTAATTGCACTTTATCCAGCTAGAAGATTTCGTGTTGTGCAGTGATCTATGTTCTCGACTCTCAACTGGGGGAGCCTGGGTTCGATCCCCGGATGTGACAGAAATGGTTGGGCACGTTTCCCTTTATCTGATGCCGCTGTTCACCTAGCAGCAAAAAGGTACCAAAAGAGTACCTGAATGCCACTGTCCTGTGTTGCCTCCTGAGGAAAGTCTAGGGCGGGGGGACCTAAGAGGAACGACTTGACTGACGTCACCTCCTTTTTTTCTATATATTTTTCAGCCCAACCACGCTCCTTGCCACGACTACTTCTACCACCTCAAGCATGTCTCCTTCTGCGCCTTCCACCCCAAGGACCACCGCTACTTCGGCTTCATCACCAAACATCCTACCATTCAGCGCTTCGCCTGTCACGTCTTCAGGAGCAACGACAGCACCAGGCCCGTCGCCGAGGCCGTCGGGTGCGTCCCAACACTCTCCTCCACAACATTTCATGATATTGAAATCATTAGTTGCGCATGATTTGTATTTTTATGATTTTTCATTATATTGTTTACATTGAGAGGCATAGAACACTGAGATATCTTCCTTTATTGATTGCCAGGTATTTACCAGTACTAGTGATAAATTTATTATTATCATTATTATAATTAGTATTAAACACACAGAAATCATACTAACGTGATATATATCAATGAGAAAATCTACCAATCTAGTCGTGTAATCCCCCCTCCCCCTCACAAATCCACTGTGACGTGGGTTAAACGACTGGCAATGCTGGGGTTATAGGTTCCCATCACCTCACAGTCCTTATGGATTTTCTCATTATTATTATTATTATTATTATTATTATTATTATTATTATTTTACTAAAAATATTATCTCGTTCATTAACCAAAATCTCTGAACAAAGAACGTGTGTTTTTAAAAGTAAACAATGAAGCAGTACAATGGGATTAAACGCTCATCCCTAGACTCCAAAAGCACGCATTCTTATTATTTCTTTACGTGTGCGAATTTAACCAAAGTTTTCTATTACAGTGCAATAAATAGTATTTGTTGACATTCCTCCCCCCCTCCCCAAACTATTTTAATAAGTCATGAACTTTTCCAGACGCGCCTTCCAAAGGTTCTACCAGAAGTTCATTGAGACAGCCTACCCAATTGAAGACATTTACCTTGAATAGTGCCTGGCAGGAGAAGATTAGGAGCATGTATAGAGGACCTTATGGATCAAACTGAATGTCTAGGGCTCTGGTTACTCCCAGAGCAATCTGAGAGCCTTTTTGCATGGTTTGCAGAGCTATTCTTTATTTCCAGTGACAGATCAAAGGTTAGAATAGAACCAAAACATGTCACTTAGGGTCGTAGGGCATGATCTGGACGATGTGTTTATGTCATGAAAATTTATCTTGGTTTTATGTAGATAAGATCAAAGTTCAATGAGCCAAAACTTTAAGAAAAAATGTGTTCATGTAAACGAGATGCAGTGCGAAGGAAAAGACTCTCAATTCATAAGATAGAAGAAAGAATATTCTTCAAATGATTAAACAGGAAGTTGCTGATCGAGTTGCCATTCTTACTTTAAGAATTTAAACCAAAAAAATGTGATGTATAATTGAAACAACACGGATACTGTATTTAGCATAAGTGCACTTGTATCAGAGCACTTCTTCCTGTTACTATATTGCCTGAATTGGCATTGCAAATTGTTTTATACTATTGTCTGGGACTAATTTTGGACGTGAGTTGTGGCAGTGTTGAAGCGCCTCGATCCTGGTAGAGGTCAGACAGATTTTTCTGCTTTCTATTGATAACAGCTTCATGCAAATATTGATTGTTTTGTTTAAATCTCTTATTTTGCTGAGCACTTATATTACACAAAAGTACTTTTTTCCATTTAAATATTTGTTACTTTTAAATTTAAAATAAAACAAAATTATATATTCATTATCACTAAATAAAATTTCAACCTTGCATATGCTGCATTCTTTTACTTAAAATGTTTTATTTGTATTAATTTTATTTATACAGTGAAAACTAACAAACCCATATGCAATCATATAGTGTATATTTTAATGTAAGAAATTACCTGATATCCTTTGTGTTCTATTCTGAGTCTCGGACATTATTCATAGGGTTATGCAATCAAGACTCTTATGTCAGTTCCATGCCTGATGCATAATGTTTTTAAACGTTTGTCTTAAAGTTTCATACATTGCTATTATGGGCAACTATGTGGTCACTTTGTTTCCACTATCTTGTCACTGCTGTGATTATGCTGCCACTGAACTGTGTTTATGTTGTCACTATGTTGTCTTTATGTTGGCATTATGGTTTCATTATGTTACAACTATATTGTTGTCTATTCACCATGTTGCTACTACGTTGCTTACAATGCTGCCACTATGTTGCCCCTGCATTGCTACAATGTTGCCACTACATTGCTACAGTGTTGCCACCATGTTGCCACTACGTTCATACAATGTTGCCACTACATTGCTACAGTGTTGCCACCATGTTGCCACTACGTTCATACAATGTTGCCACCATGTTGCCACTACGTTCATACAATGTTGCCACTACATTGCTCCATATTGCCATCATGTTGTGACATTTAAAACGCTTAAATTTACAGTTCTTTGGCCAAATATTTTTTTATACTAACATCTCAACATTTATTATTTCTGAACTTTATTTGAGTTGAGAGATAATGAACTCGTGTGCCAGCTATGGACTAAGTTAATGCCAAATTGTGTTGTTTGCAAGTGAACATAACCTTCAAGAAAATGTGTATAAATCTACTTATTGTATTTATTATATACCTGATAACAATCATTAATGAAGGATTTGTATTTTTTTTTTAGGTGTATTTGGTGATTTGTTTTCCTTACTGGACAGGGCTGTGATGCATTTTTCATAAATAAACTCCTTTCATGCTGATGAATCTACCCAGTCCAGTACAGCATCAGCATTTAGGAATTTAAAATTCAAAATAGCTTAAAAAAATTATGTTTACCAAAAAATCCTTCTGACTTTGGCCTCTAACTTATATGCATAATATTTTGCATATGTATATATGTAAATTCTAATCATTGTAGTTTAAGATTTGGCCCACTATATTAAAACATAAGAGTAGTGGAACATTGAAAATTATTCTGTAATAATTACATAAAATAGGAACTGATACAATGTAAGTATGGATGAAATTGATCATAATTATTATCATTTACATGGCTGTATCATGTAGTTTTCTTCATGGTAACAGTGTAGTTTACACTATTGTATCATGTATTCCTTCATGTTACAGTGCAATTTACACTTGTGTCATGTATTCCTTCATGTTACAGTGTAATTTACACTTGTGTCATATATTCCTTCATGTTACCAGTGTAATTTACACTTGTGTCATGTATTCATTCATGTTACAGTGTAATTTACACTTGTAACATGTATTCCTTCATGTTACAGTGTAATTTACACTTGTATCGTGTATTCCTTCATGTTACAGTGTAATTTACACTTGTATCATGTATTCCTTCATGTTACCAGTGTAATTTACACTGAAATATCATTCATATCTTTATGACATTAGTGTGATTTACATCTTCATAAAATTGTTCATGATACTGTGTGCTTGAAATTATATCCTAATGTGTGAATCTGAGTTGTGCATAAGCTACAAGCATAAGCTACATTGTGTATTTGAAGAGAATTGTGCTCTTTATTGAAATAAATGCCATGCAAACTATACTGACAATAGATTTGTAGTTGAAGAAAGAGTTTGAGAATTGCCTTTACTTTGTGTTAATAACTTGAAGAACAAGATCAACTACGAACATGTATTATAGATGCTAGTTGGTAATTTGATGAATCATCTGTATTTTCTGTTGATTATGATAGAAAAGTAGCTTATTAAGGACAATTTTAAATTGTTAATGTATTATTTTATTATATAAATGTTTAAATTATATATTTTTTATCATAATTAAGATAATTAGGGTTATCTGATCATGAATATGAGCAGATTTTTTGTTCCATGAATTAAATTCAAGGAAACAACAGCATGCTGTCCATTAAAATTGACTAATTGTAATATTCGAATGTTTTCTTTGTTTATAATATTACTGGTATGATACAATTTTTGCTAAAACTAATCTGTAATACCATGCTCATGTTCACCTTAATCTCTCAGTGTCCCTGTGCACCAAAAAAAATAGTTGCAAATGCCCTATGAATGATAAAATTGACTTCTTCACATACATTCTTCTAAGATGGAGAGAAGCTTATTCTTGGTATGCCATAGACTGTCTTGATGCCTTTGAAGTATCCCAGTTGAGGGACTGTCATGTTGGAGTGTCTTTGCCTTGTACTGACTGATGAACTCTCATTACCTGCTATCCTTCTTGTTTTTGTTCCTAGATACGAAGGTCATCTTTGTGATGATCAATTTACTACATTCCAATAACTTTAAAAAATAGATTACAGTTTCCTTTTTGGTAGTGCCCACCAGACATGAATTGCTGGGTATGTTGCCAAAGTGCTTTTGATTCTCAATTTAGATTCTCTGTGAGATATCTTACTACACCACACACGACACGCACCCTGTCAGCTAAACATGCTAGCTGTGACATTCCATAGCCACTCAGCACCCAATTTCATGTAGTGTCTTTTGTCATCTGTGTATTTGACTGTAATATGACCAAAAAATGCTCACTAAATAGAAAAAGTCTGCACTGAGGCAAAGTTTGACATACTTTCATAGTCTGTATGTAGGTTACTATCTATATGATATAAGGCTATTAAAGGAATGTCTTATATGTCTGTACATTGTTATGTAGTCCTGAACTGATCACTGGTGACACTGCAACAATGTATTAGAAGGAAGAATGTTGATCTTACATAATTATAACACTGAAGAAACTAACACCAAATACTGAAATATTACACGAGTACAAGTACTTGAGTCATCATATGCTAGTTATTCGCCTAATTAACGTTAACTAAAGTACCAGATTTGAAGAATATTTCAACCTAATATATATATGATGATTAATTACTTCACTCCCAGAGTTTCCAAACTTGATTCAATACTACTAATTTAGACAGTGCTCTCTGACATCTTCAACAGAGAGAAACATGTAGACAAAATTGATATGGTCTTCCAGGGCAATTTTCTCCTGAACCTCAAGGAGCAATATCATACTTTCTTTCAAGAAATAACTTAGTCAATAAAACATTATATATATATATATATATATATATATATATATATATATATATATTATACAGCTTGTATTACGATTATTTGCTCACCATGTAAACACTGTTGATAAAAACGTTTCAGCTTGTCAGTATTTTGTCCCTTTATCTGTTAAACAATATGGATGACAGTATATGCCTCACTCAAAAGTATCGTATGTCTTATACTTTGTATTGATTCACCATAGCTGAACATATTATAGTAATGTATTTGATTGTATGTTCATTCATAGAACAAACAGAATACATCGCTCCTACATTACTTACTTTATGTGGCCAAAATGGGTCATGTGATCAATATATATTTTTGCCTTGCAGAGGAGCTTGCTAATCTCTCAGCGTCTTGAAAGGACGGATCTGGGGGTTTGTCTCGGGAAAGTTATTGAGCAGAAATGTTTCAATTCTGACAATGAGAAAAATCAAAATATTCTAATCGTGAAGGCTTGTCACTCACACCGTTATCAACAGTCCTACAGAACTGGGAATAATTTGTTTTTGTTTATCATAAATTTTTATTTTCCACCTGCCTAATGATTCCTAACATCACCCACCAGTTATTAAATTATTTCGGTATAACATTCTTGTATCTTTACAAGAAAGTTTCTTAATTTAAAAGACAACAAAAATAGCATATTATACACACAGAAAATCACACTAAAGTGATTAATATCATTTATTTATTATTATACAATTATTAATTAAATAATATAAGATATTATTTTAAAGTTACTTCTACACGTTATGCCTTATCTCCATGTAATTAATATATTTATGTGAAAATGTTTCAAGATTTAATCAAATCCAAAACTGTTAATTTATCAGTGCAAATTCATTTTTACATGCCCTGGATTCCCCCCCCCCCCCACCCCCCCATTCCCCCAACTTTTGGACATTCCCCCCCCCTTGCATTCCTAACCCATTCGATCTCCCAGATCCCCCTAACCCCTTTGGACTCCCCCGCAGACCTCCAACCCCTTCAACACCCCCCAGAACCCCTATATCTCCTTGAACTTCCCCATGAACTCCTTTTCCATAAGACTTCCATTAGTTCACCCATGGACCCCAAGTACCCCTTCAGAACCCCCCCCCCCCAGGACCCCCTACACCTCAGAATCCTCCCCTGGGACCCCAACTCCTCAGGGGGTACCCCTCATGATCCTCCCTGGACCCCAGTACACCTCATGATTCTCACTGGACCCCCAGACCCCAGTACCTCCCATGATCCTCCATGGACCCCCCAGTTCCCAATACCCCTCCTGGACCCCTTCCCCTGGATCCACCAGACCTCAGTACCCCTCAGGATCCACCATAACCCCCCCCCCCCCGGGGCATCCCACATACTGACGCTGTGTGTACACGTTGGTCCGACAATACGATGGTGAGTGATAATACGGATTGTAGTGCGGCAGAGTTTAACAAAAATTAAACAAATATATGGCTTTCGTTACTGATTGTTGTTTGCAATTATCCTACCTTATATATTACTCAATGTATGTATATATAAATATATATATGTACGGGTATATATGTATATGTATATAAACGGGTTCCAGACAGATCATCACAGCCCCCTTTCACCGGAGTCCAGCTTCCTTCATGACCCAGCAGAAGGTAGAGTATTTATTATTAATTAATTATATTACTATTTAAATAATAATTGTTGTAATTAATAATGATTACTCGTCTTTCTATTGGGTCATGAAGGAAGCGGGCCTCGGGGGAAAAGGGGCTGTGATGATCTCTGTCTGGAACCCGTAGGTGCGGGACCGGGCCGTCCACCTCCTGGGGCTCGTGCGGCCTCCAGGCTCTGCTTCAGGAGGCTGGGGTCGTTCTTCTCCGGCCCCGACTACAGCGGTCTCTGGGTTTGGAGTCCCTGTGCCTTCTTTCACCAACTTCGAGGTCAACTCCGGAACTGGAGCCCTTAGAGCAGTTCGTTGTTGCCTTCAACCTCGTTCTGACAGTTCCTGCGACAATGCTGGAACCAATCGTATTGGCGGCTGCCTTTCCATTGGAGACTTTCGGCGCCATGGAGAGGGGGGACCTGCTGCATGGGTGACAGCTTCTCCCCCGTATCAACCTACCCTGGCTTTGCTCCCTGGAAAGGCCACTCCAGACCGACAACCAGAGCGAAACGCCATAGTCTCCTGAGACTGATGGATGCCTACTACTATATATGTTTATATGTATATATGATATGATATATAGGCTTGTTGTTGGCGGTTCCATGGGTTTATAACCCTATGGGTGAAAAAGCATCTCTTATTTTCAGTCTTACATTATGGCTTGTTGAGCTTGAACCCGTTGCTCCTCATTCGTGTTATGTGCCTCTGTAACCCTTTCCACTACTGCCCACAAGATGGGTAGAGGGTGCATAATGAATGAACTAAACTAACTAACTCGTTCGTGTTACATCCGACCTTTAAAACAAATTGTCCGGATCAACGTCCTTCAAATTGTTCAGTATTTTAAGTTTCAATGAGATCCGCCCCTGTCATCCCTGGTTTGTTGTGTTGTTAGCCTTGTGGTCCTCAACCGTTCCTGGTACGAGAGATGACTTAGCTTTGGAATGACTAAGAACCGATGCTTTATGATATATAGAAACAACAATATTTAGCAATAGCAAAGGGGAGCCGGTCGGCCGAGCGGACAGCACGCTCGACTTGTGATCCTGTGGTCCTGGGTTCGATCCCAGGCACCGGCGAGAAACAATGGGCAGAGTTTCTTTCACCCTATGACCCTGTTACCTAGCAGTAAAATAGGTACCTGGGTGTTAGTCAGCTGTCACGGGCTGCTTCCTGGGGGTGGAGGCCTGGTCGAGGACCGGGCCGCGGGGACACTAAAAGCCCCGAAATCATCTCAAGATAACCTCAAGATGAGGTAATTTTTAAGCAATATTCACAATAACAGCAAAACACGGGTTGATATGAAAGATTAGAAGAGGTGAGGAAGATTGTTTACATTAGGTTAATAAAGCAGCTCTTAGTTTCTCTTTTCTTTTTGACATTTGATTTCTAATCTAATTATGGAGGTCATTCCACAGTTTAGGACACTGATTTGCAGACCTATTTTGCTTAGATTAAGTCACACTCTTGGCGATATAAAAAATATATTTATTTTTCGCGTAGTACTCGTGGTTCCAGACAGATCCAAAGGGCCAAAAGACTAATAAGACTGCAAACAAAACACGACAGGGCTGATCTCATCGAGACCATTAAAATACTGAACTAATTGTAAAATATTAATCCAATCCAATTTTTTAATCATCATATATATAACGCATACAAGAGGCAACAGCTTAATCAAGCACAAAAATGGACACTGCCTTTTGGCATGAAAGGCGGTGGAGTTTCTGATCGGGGAAGGAAGAGACAATTGCGCACCGCGTTCCGCAAGGCGCAGTGCGGCCAGTCTGGGTGGCATAAATAGCGTGGGAGGTGAGGTCTCGCCCTCACTCCATTCCCGCCACGGTCCGCGACTCACGAAGCGCCCTCCTTCCTTCCCCTTTCTGTTGGCTGCCAGCTTTCCCTGTTTTAACTACGTCAGTCGTTGTTCCTCACGTCTTTCCTCCCGTTTTACTGGGGATTGAGGGGGGGGGGGGGGTGCAGCGCCGGTCCCCAAGTGTTCCGCTGTCCGCAGCTATACTACTTCGACTTTACAGCCATTCTACTAGTAAGCCCTAAGTCAGGAAATTGTTTCTCCTTATTCCTTGACGGCACGGCCTCTGGCCTGGGGTTATTTTCTTGTCCAAATTCATATCAGGCTTTTCCAGTCTCTATGTAATTTTCTGCCGCCTGATTATTTTCCATTTTCAAGCTAGGGTTTACCATTGTTATGTTGTTCACTTATGGTGTCCTGACTGTTATACTTAGCGTTAGATTTGTTACATTCGCCTCACTGCTAATTCTAGACAATAGGCTATTAGGTTTCTGCAGAGTTTGTTACTAGGCTATAAGATTACTTTTATTTTACTACGGGTGTACAATATAAGTTGTTTCGTGTACTTTGAGTTAGCCACGGCTATGTTATACATTTGTTAAGACTTACTTAGAAGCCTGTTTTACTTGTGCAGAATTATTTATCCTGTACTTCTACGTAATAAATTACGCCCCCATACTGTTGGTGTCTTCCTTCCCCTAATCAGAAACCCACAATTATGTAGGACAGAAAACATGAGATGCTTGTTTTCAGCCATAGGGTAATATTAACCTATGGAATGGCTTACCCGCCGAAGCCGTAAATACTTGTCATCCATTTAGTTCTTTTTTAGTTCCCACTCATCATTAATTCGTGGTTCGTATTTTTGAACAATTTCGGTGATGACATTTGTGAAATTATCCCAAACGCTTCGATTTCTGATTTCCTAATAACTCCATCAGTGAGGTATTTTGCATTTCCTCTTTTTTTATTCCTAATAATTGCCACTAAGGTAGTTAAAAAAGCCACTCTTTAATTGTGGATACATGAAAGGTCGTCTACATTAATGTCCTTCCAAATGCCTCTAAATATCTCAAGCCAATTTTATTTGCTGATGTCACAACCTTTATTTTCTCCAGTCCTAACCCTTTTATTTCGAATGACGGTGAATTCTGAGCCAAATAAAGTCCAGCTTTGGCTAACTGCTAACAAACTCACCCTTAACATTAACAAAACCTTCCATATTTTGTTTGGTAATAAATCCTCAGATCATATTTAACTATGAATTAACAATATCCAAATTGCTCGAAGTGTTCGAACGTCCTCAGCTGTGAGTCGTGCGTAAACCGTTTTTCATTCATACAAAAGGGGGTTTGGCGGGCGCATGAAATGGACTTTTGGGTCTTAGTTTGGAGGACGGGCTGCATGTTTAGGCCATTAAGGTGATGAGTACAATGAATGCAATAGATAATCGGTTTAATTCAGGCAGCAGTGTCTATACCTGCAGACTGCATTCAGTTTGTGAGGTTATGTGTTATAGTGGACTCATTACTAGTAATGTGCTTAACAGACAGTTCAGTAATGCATGTTAGTACCGCAGGTCTAAGTACCTAAGTTTTTTGTAATCAATTAATAATATGCGCGTTGGCCCGGGAGGATTGACCGGGCGCCAATCCTTAACTGTAGCCTCTGTTCACCCAGCAGTGAATGGGTACGTAACGATTTGGCGGGTCGTATTCCAGGGAAAATTAGGATTAAGGACTTGCCCGAAACGCAATGCGCTCTTTACAAGTTTTTTTTTTTAGTTTAGTTCATATATTATGCACCCCATACCCATCTTGTGGGCGCAAGAATGTAAGAACTCTTGTATATATATAAAAGAATAATAATATGTAATGTAAGAACTATGATTGATTGATGAAGATTAAGCCACCCAAAAGGTGGCACGGGCATGAATAGCCCGTAAGTGGTGGCCCTTTTGAGCCATTAACAGTATCAAGAGCTGATACTGGTGATCTGTGGAGGTGCGAATGCACCCTGCGTGACGGGAGATGTCTCCCTTGTTAATGTGTTAAGATGAAGATGAAGCCACCCAAAAGGTGGCACGGGCATGAATACCCCGTAAGTGGTGGCCCTTTTGAGCCAGTATCAATAGATGATACTGGAGATCTGTGGAGGTGCGACTGCACCCTGCGTGACGAGAGATGTCTCCTATGAATGTGTCTAAGATGAAGATTAAGCCATCCAAAAGGTGGCACGGGCATGAATAACCCGTAAGTGGTGGCCCTTTTGACCAGTATTACCAGTATCAAGAGCTGATACTGGAGATCTGTGAAGGTGGAACTGCACCCTGCGTGACGGGAGATGTCTCCCGTGAATGAGTGTGTAGAACTAAGAATGTAAGAACTCTTATATATATATATATATATATATATATATATATATATATATATATATATATATATATATATATATATATAATATATATATATATATATATATATTGTTATTATTGGTATTATTATTATTCTTTATATATATATATATATATATAAAGAATAATAATAATACCAATAATAACAATAACGGTAATAATAATAATTTATTATTATTATAATAATATAATAATAATATAAAAAGTGACATTTGGTAATGGGCGGAAACTCACCTGGGAGACGTGGCAGCAGCGCCTCAGGAGACTCACCTGAGACGGCAACACCGCTCCACCTGCGTAGGACCCACACAAGACCATTTTAAAAACAGGTAAACATATTAGCTTTTAGCGTCTTCCTTAATGCGTTATTGAGGTCATTTGGTCAAGACGAGTATATATAGATCACCGGAGAGTGTAGGGGTGAGGTGAAGGGCCAACATTAACTTTGTTTTAAGGGGAGAAGATGGATAAGAAGCGTGTGGGTGAGGTGGCTTGGGGCGGGGCTCTGCGGCCCCGGCAGCTCACCTGATCTATGATTTAAATGCGTTTTTGTATATATTATATTTTATTATTGTCAGTTTGACTATCAGACAGTGTAGGGGGCTGGCGAGAGACGTAGTGTGACACGATAGCAGGTCTGGCGCTTCCAACTGATGTAAGACATTCCTTGGCCATGGTTGATGGGGACAAAGTAATGTGTCTGTCCCCAAGACGGCTCGCCAACGGATTTTTTGTGTACCTAACTCGCCTCAAACCAGTCTAACCTAACACATGTATTTTCCTTAATTTACCCGAGGGCCTCTCACCAGAGCTGGTTGGTACAACACAGCCTATTTGTGTGTGTGTGTTCCGTGCCTGACAGTCCAAGTGGTTGGACACCGATGCTTCCCTCCGGCCTAGCCCAGCGCCGTGTCCTTGTATCTAGAGTGCTATATAGTCGTATTCCCTGGGTACGTTCTCCTGACAATTACCTTACCCGAGTACCATCGTCTCCAGTGGCCTAATTGATATGACACTGGCAGCTTTGTTGACATTGTTGAATATGGCGTTCCGGCGTTCCGCGAGCGCTATGTCATGGGTTCGTATCCTGGCCGGGGAAGATTTACTGGGCGCAATTCCTTAACTGTAGCCTCTGTTTAACGCAACAGTAAAATGTGTACTTGGATGAAAAAACGATTCTTCGCGGCAGGGGATCGTATTCCAGGGACCATAGGATTAAGGACTTGCCCGAAACGCTACCCGTACTAGTGGCTGTACAAGAATGTAACAACTCTTGTATATATCTCAAAAAAAAAAAAAAAAAAAAAAAAAAAATACAAACTGACCATATCCATTGTGTAGGAGTGTGGTCAAATTGTGCGTGTTTGACGAGGCTCGTTTTCCGATGTCGAAACCGTACGTTAGGTTAGGATACATTAGGTTAAGCTTGGTAACATTGGGTAGATTAAGAGATTTATTGGTGAACCGTATTGTACCTTGCGTCTCGACTAAAGTCTTTAGGAAGTTGAATCTTGTAATTCGAGGGTTTTGACAGAACCTAATTTTCTTGTTAAAACTATATAGTGTATATTGTTAGGTTTGGAAGGTAGGTTTTAAAATCCATTGGCAAACTGTGTTTTGTATGAAGTGAGCAGTTAAGTTGTACACAGGCGTTTTGCATCAAATATGATTAAGTAAGGTATAAAACATGTTGGTGCACCTTCTTATGTAAAAGATGACCCCATATATATATATATATATACTGTTTATAAAGGAAGTTACTATTGAAGCACAGAGGGGAGAACTTGACAAACGTAGTCAAATTTTGTAACTAAAGGATTAAAATTAGAATGTCTGAAACCATTGGAACTGTGTTTATTACAATTTTTAAAATTAAAAAAAATTGTAGCAACTTGTACAAATTGTTACTATAATAATGGTTGGACTCGACAGATGTACAGTAGTCTAAATAAAGTTACGTATTTTTGGCATAAATTAAATAAATTTAAACTGGGTTTGAATAGTGATATACTGTATATTAAAATATTACAGTGAAGGAGAGCTAGTATAAAGTATTCATACCATGAAGTTTATAGGAATTTGCATCCCTTTGCCATTCTTGGAATCTGCTTTATGCAATGCTTTCACAATCTGTAGGTTTAGTAAGAGTTCATTACTCCCAAAACTATAATTACTCGAGAAAGCACTGTGCTTTCTCTGGTATGGTCTTGTCTCCAATGATTGGTAAAAAAAGTTGTCATAAATTTTCATCTAACCTTTCAATTTTTTGATGTACCAGCCTGACCAAATTTGTTTAAAGACAGGTTATACATTTGTTCAATACCATTTGGCAACAAACAAGATATTTCCATTTTTGGGGGGATGCATTGTCCATTTTATTCAGAACAAAAATTTAAAGTTTTTATTTTAGTTCCTTGGAAAATGCCAAATATTATTTTTTGATTGGTTATTATTGTTTCAGAGTAGGTATGGTTTGCTACCATGCCTGTGTCCAACGTGTCCTCATCACTTGCTGAAATCAACCGAAGATATGGGATTAAGCCAGAGTTCTATGACTATACTCCCTTTTATGTTACGATCACTATCTGCACCATAATTGGTTTGATCTTGATTTTGGTGAGTATTGTGTGCATTTGTTTGAGAGATTAATTCAATGTATTTAAAATATAATTTGAGCTTCACTGCAATACCCTTCTTGCATATTACAATCGAAGAACCTGGGTTTGCTCTCTGGGTGAAACCTGTTGCCTCTGTTCACCTAGCCATAAGTGCCAAGAGGTGGTTAACTGTTGCGAGTTCCATCTTGGGGAAGGTCAGTAATTCAACCTAGTGGGGCCATGATAAAAGCCTGGGGGACAGGCTTCCTGTTTCCAGGAATGATTATTAAATTGTATATAAATACTGTACTATAATATGAAGTCAGTAGGAAAGCATGATTAATGACCAGAACAAGTTCTGGTCATTAATCATGCCTTTAAATCTCCTTCCATGCCCGAGAGATAACCAAGGACAACTTTGATTTTACAAAAGGTTTAAATGTCTTGCATCTTTTTCATGTTAATTTCCCATATTCTGATTAATATGGGACATTAACATGAAGATGTTTTTTAAAAAATGAAAAGATGGATATATTCTTTTGGTGTGATTTCACTGAAATATGAATGATTAAGAGGTAGACTTTTTGCTATACATACAGTATAGTAGAATAAAGATTGTGTATAACTCATAAGTTAGTTTTCTGGCAATATTCATGTTGATGCATTGAGTAACATGCGCACAACGCTATATGTGTTAGTAGGTTTGCATGAATATAAAAATTCTAGTGCAAACCCAATGTACCTTAATTATATCACTTGCTGTACCTGCCATGCATTGCTGTGGCTCAATCTGGTTAAATGGACAAGAAAGAAAAGAGAGAGCGCACATTTCTAATGTTTAATTTCACAATACTTGTGGGTACCCAATGTTTTTTGTTCCATTGTCTGTGGAGATACTGTATAGAGATTGTCTGGTTTGCTGACTCTAGAACACGCAACATGTAATTGTCCATGTGAGAAGCAAACAGTGTCTAGATTTAAACCACACAATTCTAAAGATTGGTCCTGAGCTTTGTTGATGGTTGCAAACACCAATTGAATTGGGAATTGCAGTCTGTTAAATTGAAATTGGCATATCCGTTGGAATCAGGAATGCGAGGAATAGGGATATCTTCATTTTTTAATGGTCCTGTCAAGATTGTTTCTTCTACAGCTTCTGATTAATTTTTTTTTACTGCAAGCCACATGCCATTGTCGTACTTTGCTGGTTGATATTTCGCAACAAGATAATTGGCATGCCAATTTTCAATTGCATTACGTGCAGTGGTATCCCTGGCAGATCGAGTGAATTCAAAAATTGTTGGATAAATGACCCCTTCATCTGCTTCCACAACAGTGTCGATGGACTTGTATGTGATTGCCTCGCTTTGAATGTTAGACTGAATAATATTAAGTTCGTAGACATCTTTGTTTTTGGCTGCAAGAATAGCTCGTTCTCTCGGCCAATCCTGATTTATATAATTGGTTTGAATATTGGGAAATACCTTTTCAACCAATTCTTCTTTTGACGTCACTAAATTGCAGAAGTTAAGAGGCAATGAAGTTCATCCTGAGGTCAGATCAACCAGCACGTTTCCATCCTCAATTTACAGAAATTGATGAGAATATCTCGGCTGATAGATCGTTTTGCAGCTGGACAGGCATATTTTGTACTTAATTTTAATGTCTTTACATGGCTTCATACCTGCTTGATGAGGTTTTAGGAGTTGTTCTACTCTACAAGCCTGGCACCTTTCTGGCATCACAAAGTAGAGTATTTCGGGCAAGCATTTATTTCATTCGCTGGTGTCGATCGAGGAATTACAGGTAATGTTTGCCCGATATCTCCTGCAAGCAATATTAATGTGTTTCCAAATGGTCTGATGTTTCCACGCAAATCTTGCAATGATAAATCAAGAGCCTCGAGTTAATTTTTTTGTGGGCCCTTGTACATTCATCCCAAACAATAAGTTTGCATTTCTGCTGTACTTTTACCATGTCAAATGCTTTGGAAATGTTTCACATGGGAATTTTAATGAATTGCATGTTCAATGGCAATTTCAAAGCTGAAAGAGCAGTTCTTCCACCTGGTAGCAATGTTGCAGCTATTTTAGACGATGAGAGCTAAGGCTATGCCATTTTCAGATTGAATTGTTGCCAGAATTGGTCTTAATTAGGAAGGTTTTACCATTTCCTCCTGGTGTAGTCAAGAATTCTCCAAGCACGTTATTGACACTAAATTATTTGATCGTAAATGCCTTTTTGCTCAAATTAGCATAGGAATATTTGATTGCACATACAACAGATCACCCGTGTTTTAATTTTGTTAACGATGCAATTCTACATTGAACGAAGCAGCACCAGATCACTTGAAGGTTTAAGCACAAAGCTTTAATCATTATCAACACTTCGTTGTAGATTTCTGCTGTGAAATCAATGTTCATTTGAATTTTTCTTATGTATTCAATGGACAATATCTTCAGCCATGTGCAATTTATATTTCTTCCATAACTGTTGGAGATGGAGAGCAAGCGGTCAATATGATTGCAAACAATGCACGAATTTGATTTGGATGTGATGTGTTGGACGCGTCATTAATGCATACATTCCAGTGTCGGTCGTTCTCCAATAAATTCAGTCTGACATGCACTATGGAAAGTGGCATGTGTAACATCGTTGACAAATCTCAATTGCTGGAAAGACATTGGACTGGGCACATTTACCAACAGCATGTGAAAAATGAAGCATTCATCTTGATAGGGATGCATGGTGTACAGTCTGCCCATCATAGTTTGTTTGAATATGCCAGGTTGTCCGTCAGCTTGCTCTCCTCATTTACGTTTTTCAAAAGATTTTCTACTCGCATTCCATGTAATACGAAGGCACTTCCGAATACAGCAGTGTTTTTGCAAATGCGTCATTTTGACATAATGGGGAAAAAAGCGGTTAATGTTGAAGCTGGTGGATTCATGGCTATTTATTGCACATTTGCCGCTGTGAAATAAACGTACTGTCCATTTTCTTGTTTTCAAAACCCCCCAAAAAAGACAAAATTCTAACAAAATATTTCAATTCAAATGCAGCAGTTGACCCAGATGGAGTTTCACCATGGGTTCTGAGGGAATGTGCACCTGAGCTCAGCATTCCACTTAAACCGATTTTTCAGGCATCCCTATGTACAGGAGTCATAGCAGATGTGTGGGAAAAAGGCCAACACAGTTCCAATGTACAAAAGGCAGGAGAGAAGACCCACTCAATTAAAGACCTGTATCATAGACAAGTGCAATAGTCAAAATGTTAGAAAAAAATAATTAACTAAATGGGTAGAACACCTGGGGTAAAAAAAAAATATTATGTCAGTATGGTTTTCGATCTGGAAAATCCTGTACTGTATAACAATTTTAGATCCACACAACCTATAAATAATGTGACAAATCTTTAAAGAATTGATACAGAAAAAAAGATCTAGGGGTGGTTCTAGATAGAAAACAATTACAAGAGGACCACATTAAGAACATTGTGCGAGGAACCTATCTAACTTCAGAATTGCTTTTAAATAAAAGGATGGCGAATACTAAAATTGTTCACGACTTTTGTTAGACCATAGCTAAAATATGCAGCGGTTGTATGGTGCCCATATCTTGAAGCACATCAACAAACTGGAAAAGGTGCAAAGACATGCCACTAAGTGGCTCCCAGAACTGAAGGACAAGAGGTATGAGGAGAGGTTAGCCATTAAATGTGCCAAAACTAAATAATAGAAGAAAGAGGCGATATGATCACTATGTACAAAATAGTAAAAGGAATCGATAAAATTGATAGGGAGGAATTCCTGAGACCTGGAACTTCAAGAACAAGGGATCATAAATTTTTAACCAACTAAACAAATCTGCCGAAAAAATGAGACAATTCACTTTCGCAAACGGAGTGGTTGACAGTTGGAACAAGTTAGACGAGAAGGTGGTGGAGGCCAAAACCGTCAGTAGTTTCAAAGCGTTATATGAAAGTGCTGGAAGATGGAACACCACGAGCGTAGCTCTCGTCCTGTAACTACACTTGGGTAATTACAAGAATGTAAGCTGTTCTTGCATGTTTGTATTGCTGTTATGCTTCATACATTTATTGAAAATGATTTTAAAGTGGTTTTGTAGGGAAAAACATGATTTTGTGCATGTAAATGGTTATTAATTTGGTTTATGGTGGACCAAAACATGCATGTTATCTTGCTGTCAAATATGGTAGGTATGGGATTGGTTGTGAATAGATAGGTTAGAGAAATGGGTAATAGTAATAAACTTGTTTTTGACAGGTAAACTGGATCTGCAGTTGCTGTCACGAACATTCTAAGTACTGGAGTGACCCTGACACTGGCAATCGCTTTGCCTCCCTGATCTTTATCCGCAAGACCAAGCAGCGACCAATGGATGCCATCCTTTAATACGCTTGATATTTCCCTACTGCAAATGATGGTATTTTTTGTGTTCTCTCAATTTAATATTGTAACAAATGCCCATTTTGGTGTTTTTGCACTCGGAAAAATTTTGATTGAGAGATTTCACATATAGCTGTTGCAAACTAGCTTATTGTGCCATCAAATCAAAATGGCTGTTCATGCTGCTTGGCCTCCACTGGCATGCTTAGCAATGTTTGTGATGGTTGTGGCTTTTATAATCATCAAGTACGGTGATAAACTCTGCAGGGCACGGACAGTACCCAAGCCTCAAAACTATGAATTGGAAGACGCGTCCTCAGAAAACACCATGTCGTGCATGTACGACGAGAAAGAGAGCGTCAGAGATTATGGCGATGTTATAGAGATCTCTGAGATGCACTCGGAGCCAGGAAAGAAAGAGTGTGCAGTTTAGTTGCCGCCGTAAAAGGAGCATGTGCCTTAATTTTGAATGTACTGTAGTTAATCCTTTAAACGTGTGTACAAAAATGAGCAATAATCTTGATTGAAAATTTTTGTCAGACTCTTACCATGCAAAATATTTCAAAATACAATACTGTGTATGCAAATAGTTTGTACTCTGTACATTATATAATTTTTGTATGATGCTTTCAAGTGGTGTTAAGATGTATAACTTGTGTTATTGTAATATTGCCATTGGACATGAGGTTGAGGATTTTGTAGCTCCATTTTCTTGTTGTATCAGCTGTTTTCTTGCTGTTCCTGGCTAAATATAAACTGTTGTATAATGAAGCATTGCATAGTATATTCTATGCTTCTAAATGGAAATGGTTTAAAAAAAGAATGCAAAATTGCAGTCCTGTTGCTAAAGTTGCAAAATCTATACTTGATTAAATCACATTCTTGTTGCAAGATGTTATTTGGGAGACATTTCATAGTACTGTACCTTTTTGATCTTGGCCCTCAGCACGGCTTAAAAAAAAAAATTGTTGCATTGCTACTCGTATAACCACACTCCCTCTACCATGTCGACCTCAAGTGATAATTCACTCGATCTTGACATATCTTAAGTACAGTATGAGGACCACTGATAAATCCAATTGGTTGGATACTTGGCAAATTAGAAAGGTTTTCTTGGTGGAAGGTTGTCACTGAACCAAACTTTGTGGGTCAGTTGTAATGACATTAGTCAGGGGGCGAGTTGATGGTTGTAAAGTGGGAAATGTTTCATTTTTATACCATTGGTATAATTGATATTGGCATGTCTCAAGAAAGTGGAGAATAAATCATTCTTTTATTAGTGATAACTAATGTTGAATATTGTTTTGGAACATACTTATATCACCTCTTCAAGTGCTCCTATTATAGGAGAGGGGAAGAGTAAGAAACTATGAGAGGCTGCCAAGCCATTACAACTATATAGCTCTTGGAAGGGATCAGGATGAGGATTTGGGGATGGGATGGGGAAAGGAATGGTGCCCAGCCACTTGGACGAATGGGGATTGAACACCGACCTGCATGAAGCGAGACAGTCACTCTATCGTCCGGCCCAAGTGGTTAGGCGAAGAGGGTGGGGTGGGACCATGAGCATACTTGGTAAAAATTAATCGGAATTTGAAGACGCCATTATGTACAGTGATAATCACGTAATGACATTGTTATTCTTTATCGTACTTATGGCATTTATTCTTAAAGTACAGTAAAACATTTAGGTCAAATTTATATTTTTATTTTTATAAATGATTGAACATGCTTTTGAACATTTTGATATCAAATTGCTTTGAAAGAGTAAATGATTAAACATTGTATAAAATTGTTTTGTGGTCCAGTAAATACTGTACACGATTTGTTTCACCTTAATTGTTCCTTTTTTTTTTCCCCCATTGCAACTGATTTTGCAGCTGGAATGGAGTCCTAAAATGCACATTCATTTCCATCAGACTGCTCCAAAAGATTTTATCAGATATATTATGCTGCTGTGATTTCATTGTGCATATAATCTTTCACTAGACAGTTCTGTTAAGACAGTTTTCATTTTATTTCTTAATTGATATATCCAGTTAAGGTTTCTGGTTGTAACAATTCTAACCTCCAATGCCTTTAGCCCAATTTGTTTTACTGAATTGTTACTGTTGTGAAAGATTAGTCACAAAGAAAACCTATTCTAAATAAGTAAGTTTTAAGATGAGAATCTGACTTTCTATGTATCTACTGCATTTTTACTACCTGTACCATGAACCCTCTTATCCTTACCACATTCTATCAATAAAATCATGCCTTAAAGGGTGCTTCATGGCCTTGTTTTCATGACTAGCATTGGTTATTCTCCCAAGACATTTGAATCATCATAAGTGTGTCTTCACTGTTTTGCTGCTCAACACCTGGCATCTTGGCCATCTTACATCTTGCATTCCATAAACTTCATTACTTAGTCCTCCTGACTTTGTACACTTACGTGTTCAATACATTTTCAAATGTATTTGGATGATACATAAAAAAAATGTATTGTTCATTTCGGATATCATTTGCACACGAGTCTTCGAGTGTACTGTCGCACAATGCTTTCTCTGCCGCCATCATAACAGTTCTACTTTTCAATCAAAGTTGGATTGAAGCCAACTTTGTTGACTCAATCCTTTAGCCCAGTTTACTACTTCTGCTTATTTCTCCCTCTAGTGTTACATGGTTTATAATTTTCATCCCAATTTTTTTTATATCCTCACATCCTCAAGATACCACCCACATCAATTTTTAGTTGGATGTACTTTCAAGGGTAGCATGAGGTGGTGAGGTCAGACTTGAGTTCTCCCCCACAAAAGCTGGGTAGCGTTTTCCTCAAAGTGTGCTTTCCCATTCCGTGTCTTTAAACATTGGAAAACCTGTGTTCAGCTTCAAGCCCCTCATATCACTTGTGGGTAATGTCCTCTTGATCAGATACTATTAATAAAATTTGATTGGAAGCAGAAATGACATTACTATTCCGTTTAGCTAGAAATATTATGGAAGAAAAGTAAATGTCTTTAAGCTAATACAGGAAACAGAGAAAATGATTGCAATATTTCCGTCCATTTAAATTGATTGCAGTTATGCTCTGAAATATTAATAAAGGTAAATTCTGCAGCTATAATATAAATCATATTTCTGTTTGTGAGTATACAGCTTTGATTTTATTTTAAAATTTATAATTTTCACTGCAAATCGATGTAGCAGGTCTGTAACTAGAACTTTGAGGAAAAACCGAAGTTCCGCTCGCTGCTTTACCAGTGGGGGAAGAAACGTTAGAGGCAATTGAAATAATGTTATGGTTTATCATTTTTTTATATATATTTTTTTATATTATTTTGGTAAAGTACTATGTTAATGCATGCATGTATTTTATACTGTACTAACGTGCATTATAAAATTTCTTTCACCTTCTCTATTTTCTCGAGTAAGATAGTTTTGTACTACAGTATTTAATGTAAATTAACATATTGAGTTAGTATTTACTAATTATATAATGTTCCATTTATTATTGTTTGAGCATGTTGCTTAAAATTTTTATAATTTATAACAAATTTAAATTGATTATTAAACTACAAGTTTATTAATATTAATTAACTTGTAGTGTAAGACTTTAAAAATTATACTTAATCAGTAATTTAGTGTTTGAAGGTAAAAGGTCTTCATTATAATTTCTAAGTACATCTGTTCTGTATGAGGTCACATTGTCCAGCATTTTTAAATGTGCTTAAAAACTTAACTTGTTGAAATTGAAGTATTTAAAATATTATGGTTGTTACTTGTGCATAATTTTATAGAGGTTATTGTATATTTGTTTAAGATACTTGTTGCAGCAAAGTAAGGAAAACTGTCATGGTTTTGTAATGACATTGTTTTACTGGTTTAAGTTCTTGGTATTGTATAATAATTTCCATATTTTTTATCATTCACTTACATGAGCAGAACTACTATGGTAAGCTTACTCGTGTTGAGAGGCTCAAATTGTATCCGTCCATCTTTTAGCTACTAAGTTTTGCAAGCAAAATATGATTTTGTAGTACTGTATTCATTTAGCATCTGTACGTGTGAATAGCTTCCGATTAAAGTTGACCTGATTTAAACGGCCACCATGCCAAGTGGCTTTGACAATGTCAGGATCAGAAAACCTTCAATGTATAGAATCTCGGTGACCATTTTCTGATATGGAGGCAGAGGAATCTTTGATTTTTTACCTTGTTTGTATATTTTTGTAATTTGGTACCGTACACAGTATGTTAATAAATATCAATAGAGATTAAAGTTTTTATTTCCCCGAGTAAAGTTCTTGTAATATTATGAATAAAACAATCTCGTTATACATTACTGTAGTGTCTATTGGTAGAGGTACAACTGTGTAGCTTTTGCTGAATAGCCATAAGGTTCTAGTGCTTTGCCCAAGACCTGAATTTTATAACTATATTCAAAGTTCCGTTCTCAATAAATTGCAGGAAATTTAAACTTTTCAATGTCAACACATTAGTGGCTAGATTAATTTATTAACATGAGCACAGTTACTACGAATATGCACTACCTTGTTATGGCGGAGAGGCATAGGGAAGTGAGAGCTAGTGTATTCTGTTACTATTCTGGAAGACAGTGGTGTTGCCTATGAAGACCCTCTTCTGACCAACAGGTTGGATCCAGAGAGTGTTCTGTTGTATTATCTAGACTTTGATAATATGGGCTTCAGACCTCGAGATGGCACGGCTGTAGTGATACAGCAGGTGGAGCCAAGTACAGTACAGTGAATGAAATTGGCCTCCTTTGCATGTAGTCTCAATCACACACCTTGACAACCTGACTTTTGATCCTCTTCTAATCTCATAAAAGCTTTCTTTGTCATATCCAAGAAGGTGTCACTTTGGTTTTCCCATTGTCCTGGTGCCCCTTACGTAGTCCGAGACCTTCACAACCTGGGATTGCCTCAAAACTAGTTCTTTCTGATTATTAGGGGCAAACCCACCCCCCCTTCCTTCCCTCTTTCCATACTATATGGTAGTATTAGAGAACACTGTATGATGTATTAAACACTTGTACAGTAATTGCATTTGCATAAAAATTTTAATCTTTTTTTTTTGGGTATGACCTTTTCCCAAGGTCACTTGTTAATCACATTTATGGTTGTATACATTTAAGTTAAAGCTCCATTTTTTCTGTACATTCTCGCATATACTCACCCATGATCGTTATTCCATTGGTGGGGAAAGTTGCTGTCTGATTGGTGTGGTAGGGGAGGTGGGGGAAGTGGTATTAGGATAAGGTTATTGCGTGGAAAGGTCATTTTTCAGATACTGAGGAGATTTAGACAGAGGGAAGGAGACTTATGGGCATGGGAGCAGAAGTAAATTGTATTTATGGTGTAAAAACATTTATCTTGGTGTGTCAGAAGGTGGCTTGTATGTTATGAGGTAAGTAGTTAAATGTTTTATTGTTTAGTTACACGTTTGCATTTGGGCATTTGGAGTGATGTTAGCATGCAGGTGTTGGAGGCAGGGAGGATAAGGGAGGGGGGTTCATAGTATGGGATGGGTGGCGAGTGGTGTATAGGGTAAGAAGTTTGCTGGAAGAGGGGAAAAGTTGGGTGATTTAGGCTTCTGGAGGCATGGGGAAGGTTAAATGGTCTGTCAAGGAATATGTCACCGCCCTGTGTAAAATAAACATACTGTGTAATTCATGGCTGTATAAAAAATACAACCACTGTACACTTTTTTTTTATAAATGAAATAATATTGCTAGTTGTTTTCAAACTAATGGACTAGATGATCAATGCTCCTCTAATATGTTGGATTTTCCTCAATGTTGGTAAGTTTCTTTTCAGATTCTGTAAAAGTCATAGCACATGTGTTGGTAGAACAAGAAATACCTTAGATACATTACTGAATATTCAAAGTGACTTCTATGCCAGAAAAGTGGGTGCATTTTTTTGGGAGAGAGCTTCCCTTTGTATTTCCCCGAGCTACTCGGCACTCGCCTGGAGCTCTCCAAACCCAGGTATCACACCAGGTTCTTAATGAATCACAAACACTTACCAGAGACCAGGACCAGAATCTGGCCCTTTTAATAGAGGCATGGAAAGGTGGGAATACTAGAGCAACCACATTACTGAAGGAAAACACCAGAAAGGTATATTACACCAAAACAAGAAACTGCTAGGACATTTGCAACCCTGATTCAAATTATGTATACATTGTCAAGGTTTAACCAATAGTTAACACCATATCCTTGCCATCAGCTAGCAGGCCCTGCAACCCAAGGGTCCAGGAAAGCTGCCTGCTATTCATGCACCTGGTGTACTATGACATGGTTCTCCCAGTGCCTTCCAGCTCTGTGGGACCACCATTCAGCTAAGTGTTGGAAATCCCTTATACTCCATCCTGTGTGTGAGCCAGTGCTTGTGTATGTTCCTTTAGGGTATGGCTTGTATATGTAATATGTACACTTGTATAATATGTAAGCCTGTCCCTGGTACAGCTCACTGTATGTGTCTTCAGAGAATGGGAGCAAAGCAAAATTGCAACCTTTTCTGCCATTCTCTCTGGGAATGGTGTCTAGAAATGGGATACAAACACTCGCAGAAAAGACTGAGTTGTGATTTGGTGATAATCCCAAGCTGCTAGCACACAATAATTTGTATAAAAACCCGCAGAGATTTAAGATCGACATACTTTATAATGATAGGCAATTCTTTAACCCTTGAAACGCACAGTCCATCCTCAAATGTTTTTCGACCCAAGGTGTACATACCATCCCAAAATATTTTAGGTACTTTGCAACATGTGAAACTCTAAATTGGTACATAGTGTTCCCAAGTGGTATTGAAGGCTTCCAGTAAACATCTGTCATTTTTAAAAAGTGACTTACCATTTTGGAAATATTGTTTCTATGCTCAGGGCACGGTTTTCAATAATAGAGGACAAAAATCCTTGTTTTAAATACTGTACTATTTTCTCTGTGTGAATACAGTTAATACCTCATGTATACCTTGTGCAGTCCTGGGGTTCAGGGTTAATAAACTGTCAATAACAAGGGTAAAGTTGCTCACTCCTAGTGAATCGGGTTTCAGAACTAGCTAGAGCTAAGTAAAAACCAACACTGAACAGTGAAATCAATTTGGCATATATTTATTTAATATTACTAAGTATATAATACAAAGTGACGCCGGTACACAGTTAACGTCAATACAACGACACAATGGAGCAGAAATGTAAAGCAATCACCTTATATACAAATATACAGAAATGCATTCACTTCCTATTTAAGATGAAATAAAACATTTATTCTAAATTGATACCTTAAATTATAGATAGAATTTATAGGGACGAATTCACTATATATTGCATCATTGGTTAAATTTTCAACTAGGATAATGGCTGAAAAAACTAATTTATATCTTGCCAGTTTCTTTGTTGGGGAGGGGGAGAGCTTCTCGAGAGATGAAAGCCTTTAAAATAAAAATAATTTTATACAAAGAGGGTTTCAACAAAATATTTAAGCCAAATTAAAGTTCTTTACACCTCTCACCAAGTTAGAAAAATTTGTATAGTTAAGCTTGACTAAGTTGACAAAGTTAACCATAACTACTTTCAGCAACAAATGAAAGTTTGAATTCTCTTCTATTGCTTGTGCTTAAGAAGTGATATTTTATAACATGATAAAAGACCTAAGGGTTGAATGGGTAGGAAATTGGGGATTTGTAACAATTCTACTGTATAGCCCTATCTGCTTTCATTGTTGTGTTGCTTCAGTATTACACACACAAAGGCTCTGGGTGCGTTCAATTGAGCTTAAGTTCCTATATAATGAAAAAGAAGTTAATGGCTGAACAAATGTACAGTGATTTCAGATGAAATATGGAAAATGTGACCAGCACAAAAGAATCGGTAATTAACATAAATATTACAAAAAAAAAAGCACGGTAATATTCTGTGTGTACTATAAATGATTGTAAGGTACAGTATAACTACAAAATTATATCAAAAGACAAATATCTAATGGCATTACAAAATATTAGTAATTATACTGAAATATACATGGTGCATAGTACAGGTAAGATTGTGCATTATTATACAGGCATCATTATTGCTAAAACACTATTTTTTTTTTTTACCCTACAAGTTCTAGTGAAAACACACGGCATTATGAATGAAACCTTGTACAAAGGTAACTATGTTTAAAAATGGCTAGAAAAATACCTAACCTACTTAAGAGACACAAAATTGGTAAGCGAGCATGTGAAAATGCCCCAGAAATACTTTGCCACAATCTTTGACTCTTCTTTGTAATCAGGCCAGTTTCTGTCCTTCAAATCAAGAAGTGGGTTAAATAATTAACATTGGACACACTGTAAGACTAATACCATTGTTTGTTTTCATTTTTCAGGTAAAATAGGAGCTACAAGATGCCATTAAGTGGGAGTGTGGCATTTATTATTATAATAACACTTCCTTGTACATAGCGCACATTCACTTGTGAATACAGTAGTGAAATTTTCACATTGATTCATCAGGGTCATAGTCTCATTAACACTATAATATTTGTCTACTAATGTCCCCAAGTTATTTAATTTAACTCACAATGAGAGACCTATGAGGACCTACAAAGTAATGATGAAAATGTTCTTCCTCAAAACAAGATCGTGACAATAATTTTGAATTTTTATGAAAATAAAGCCATTTTTTCTACAGTAAACAATGTTTTTATATTTTGTTTTAATTTAGAACTATTTTCTTCATATCAAAGCACTTTTGAGCAATAGTAAAATGACCAACAAAGTATTAAAGAATGCAAATGATCACAACTAGCAACATAGATAAAGCTTTATTGACTTTAAGCATCTTTTAAGTGCTCCAGAAAGCTTGTAACTTTGATTATTTGGCAATACTTTATATTTTTATTACAATGTTTATAGAAATCATGATCTTGTTTTTAAAGGATCATAAAATTAAAAAAATTAAAAATAAATTAAAGAAACAGTGTTTCGACTCAGGCATTAATGGTAATGCAAGTCTTTTTTGAGCACTGGAAACGTTGAATGTTTGGGAGACATTGGCCAAATTTATTTAGGCATCTGACACCACCACCAAACTAGGTACTGTACAAGTATTCATCTCCTTTTTGTCCAGAAATCTGTGTTATAAATTTACTTAAATGAAAGACTTCACATTTGACATTTTAACAGTTTGGTAAGCTTAGAGCTGTAGAGTAAGAATCATTCTGAATTTGCTTGTATGGCCTGCTAAATTTCTAAATTTATATTTATAATCTGATGAATTATATTTTCTTACTAAATAAAGTAATTTTGGCCAGACTTGAGACTGCATAACTGCTGCCATCTTTAAACTTGTTTAATACCTCCAAAGGATACCTGATCAACTGGACTGTGGTTCATAAGTCACACTGTAAGCAAGTGTGTAACAGATGAGTTGACCAGACTATACACCAGGAAGCCTGATCAGAGACCGGGCCACAAGGACACTGATCCTCGCACCCACTTCAAGGTACTGTATATCCAAATTTCAAAGCCATTTTTTGTTAGTTGTTCAATATTTACTGGGTGTCTTTTAATTCAAAATTATCCAGTCATAATTAAAGTTGCCCATATTTTTGGTGTCTACCTCATATGATGATCAATACAATTTCTTTAGTTGCACATTAGTAAGCAGTGTCTTAGAAATCGTCTTACAAAAATATCTTTTTCACCATTTTCTGACATCTTAATTTATTACATGTCATAAAAATAATAATAAATCTGTAAAATAATAATACTTGCAGGGTCATGTTCGTGATTCCACTCACAATCTCCTCATTCTTTTTATTTAACCATAATAATTCCTGTTGTCAGGGACAGGAAGTCTGTGCTTAGACTTATCGAGTTCCCCCTAGGCCAGGTATGGCAAACCTTTATTGACAGCATGTGCCCAAATTGGCAATGATCTTCTAAAAAATGATAGCATGTGCCCATGGAAATTTTGAGCCACAGATTATTTATTATATTATTTGTATTTTACCCTATTTTACAGGTTCTTAAAAAGGTCTGTTTAAGAATAGTCCATAATAAATTATTATAATCAATGCGTCGGAAAGACAGGTAGCCAATGTATGTTTATACATGTTAGGCTTATATCGAGATCCCCCAAAGTCGAATTACTGACCCCACAACAAGCTGACTGACTACTGGGTACATACGTCTTTAAGCAGTAAGCAATAATGAACAGGAGCATTAGGTGATAGGAAATGCACCCAACAATTTCTGTCCTGCCTGGGATTAAAACCTGGAAGTCTCAATTGTGAGTTGAGAATGAACTCTGCATATGATCTGTACTACTGGGACCCCCTAAATAAATATATTATGGGTGGGGTTTTCAAAGCATCAAGGGAGCAGCACTGCATGCTGTGTGCCAGCAATACTTACTTGCATGCCAAAATGGGCACACATGTCATAGGTTTGGCACCCTTGCCCTAGGCCAACTATTGACCTTCCCCAGGATCCAACCCACTGATATTTTGGTTCAAGGCTCAGAACTATACCATAGAATTCAAAACAATAATTTAATTTCTTGTTAGTTTTTATTGCATTGTGTAATACTGACACAATTCTGATTAAATGGAACTGAAGCTCCTGGGTTGCAGTTCACTTTTTATTTTATATTGCTTTTATCACAAGTGTGTGGATGTACTCACTTTGTTGATCTAAAACTGTAAGTTGATCAAACATGCTGCTTCTATTCATTGTGGGTTAAATGGTTGGTAATAAAGATTAATGTATTTATTTTTAATGCTCTGAGAAGTATTTCAATGTTTATATTCTTAAGAATTTAAGTTTATTAAACTTAACTTTCACAAAATTCACATTATTACCCTGCATATGATCTACAAATTCTAATGTATTTTACGCATATTGCAATTGTAACTATTTTGCCCTGCAAAAAAAGATAGTGAACAAAGTCTGCACTTGCAAACAAAACTATTGTTTGGTTACAGACCACAGCCTTATTAATTCTTATTTAGTGACGACCATTTCGATATTCATTTTCAACAGTTGTGACGGTTGGTCGTCGTGGTGGAGGTGGTTGAAACTGGTCTGAGAGCTTAGAGGAAGTGCTGCGTCGGTCAATGGAAGAGTCACTGAAGGCCAGGGACTGCATTGATCCTCGAGGACCCTGCATGAATGAATTATACCAATGAAAACTTCAATTAGTTTGTATTTCTCTATAATATCATTTACTGCAAAGACAATCAAACTTATAAAAGGAATGTTAGAAAATCTGACAGATTTATACACCAACACTGAAGCATCACAATTTAGACAAACACTGAGTGTAAACACTCAACAGCCAAGCTGATTCTTTGTGTTTAGCACACAGATCCGTGACTGAGTTTGATTGCATTCTAAGCCAACTTTCACACTGTCTTGATTAAATTGTACCCCAAGCCAACCTCACATCAGATTAGATTGTACCCTACATCAACCTCACACTCTCCCTCAGTTGACCTTGTTACAGCTACACCGTCAAGCTTTGATAGGTGTTTACACGTGGTCATGACTGGCTAAACACTTTTCCGCTTTCTTCTGAGGGTTATTTCCGTCGCAGTAATGGCTGTGCAGTGCATACCCCATTTTGTGGTGGATTTTTTGTCATTGTTTTTTTTTGTCTGGGTTCAGTTCTGAAGCAGACACTTTTTTAGCATTCAGGCAGTTTCAAATTATGTCAGTGTTTCCAGCTCTCTCTGCAATGATCAGCATCATTAGCCTTCATGCCTGCATTATCCACTCTTTACCGTGTAGGAGTTTGTGATAGTCTGAATGGCATTTCAGCATATCCAACTCCTGGGCTTTGCCCTCCATTTTGTTACATTGAGCATGCACCCTTGTCATCCTAGTGAATCTGTTGTCGGGGAGAAGTGTAGTTCAGTTTCTGTGGAACTGGTCTCATGTGTAGCACTCAAACTTTATGGCCTTTGGTCCTAACAGGTTTTTATTCAAGGCGTGTCAACCATCCACAGGTGGGCTTGTCTGCCTCAGTGTGGCTTCTACTTTATGGGTTGCCATTATCAGATTGCACAATGTAGAGGAAGCATTTCATCTCACCTAAGGGAAGGCAATTTTAACTTTTACTCTTCATTCAGTCCATCTACTGCTCTTTTTGATGGCTAGGTTGGGGACTCTTTGCTGGTCACATTCATCTGCAGACTCGCATATGTATAATGTGAGGCACTGAGGAACTCAGTCCTACTTCCCAATGTCCTGAACTTTCCCTTCTCATCACCTCCACCTCCCCAAGAGTTTCAGTGGCGTGCCCAGCCTTAATCACAGGTTCACAGCTCTCCAATGGACCTTGTGTTGTTTCTTGGCTTTGTATCCTCTCCTGTGTCAGTTTGGTGGCAGACTTCATGGTGCAGCTTTAGCATCTGTGACTTCTCTTAACAGTGGCATTGCAAAGTAATTTAGCAGGCCTGCTGCCCATTTTTCTGTGGCATCTGTTCTTTGTGTTGGCTCCCATTAGTGTTCTCCCAGGTCCAGCTTCTCTTGGAGCCAGGCATTTTTTGTCCTTGGTTCTTTCAGGACCGTCATCTTATGCCTAATACTGTCGCCTCTTATGCCTAATACTATCGCCTCTTATTGTGCAGTGCTGACGGAGCCGCTCCAGCTTGCATTCAGGGTGGATGTCACTTTCGCCCCGTTCTGTAAGCTTTCTCGTGCTTTGTTTCACCTCTGGCCTGCTTGTGTTCTACCTGAGCCATCCTGGTCCTTGGACTGGGTGCTATCTTTTCTCTCTTCTCCTCAGTCTGTGGTGGCTCCTTCAGTTCAAGATTGTTTTCAGAAGGCTCTGTTTCTCTTGGCATTGGCCTCCGGTGGTCAAATAGGCGAGCTTCATGCTCTCCTCCGGCGCAGAGGTTTCTGATCTTTCGGTCCTGGTGGTCGGTTTGTTCGGTTGTAGCGTTGTCCTCCTTTTCTGGCAAAGAACGAGATGTCAGACTTTTAGAGGGGGGCCCTTAAGTTATTGCTGCTTGGTTGGTCAGGCCGGGATGCATCATATGTTGTGTCCGGATGCGGCTCTGCACCGTTATTCTGAGCACCTCGGTTTCTGTGGCTGTGGACACGATTTGTGTTGTTTCAATTTCCCTCATTCCCTGTTCTGAGAGACCTGAGCCCTGGGTCATCCGCTGGGTTATTATGTCTAGCCAGCCTACGGTCTACCCTCCTGCCCATGATGTTCGTAAGTATGCTACTTTGGCTGCTGCATTTGGGAACATGTCTTCTGCTGATATTCGGGCATGGGGGTTTTCGAGGTCAAACAGGGTCCTGGCTGCCCATTGTTTGGTGAATGTTCCTGGTCCCAGTCATTTGTATGGGGCTTTGGGTCTCAGGTTGCAGCCAGTTGTCTCGTCTTCAAGTTGATACACGTGATGCGGCTGTCTTCCGTACAAGTCCATCTTTTACTTATTTTTGGTTACATAGCTCCAGGGAGCCGAAGGGGGCTCCCCACAGACATCCAGAATTGAATTTAATGAAACGCCATTTTCTGCGCGAGTCCCGGAGGCTCCCTGGCACCCTCACTCCCTCTGGTAGGCGGTTTTTAATTTTTGACACTTGGTCTTTGATCTGAAGAGCGGGAAGCCAGTGCAGGGGTCTGGAGCTCCTCCCTTTTCCCTGGAAGGAAGGGGGGGAACCTGCACAGACAAGCAGCAAGGCGGCGGTGGATGACGTTTGCTTGTTTCCTTTTGGGGGGGTTCTGCTTCTCTGTTTGGTCTTGGGTTGCAATTTCCTACCATATGGGGTTTATTACGGAATGCCTACCTTTCTGGGTGCTTAACCCTTGTTGATGGCAGACATGGAATATTCCCAAATACAAGGGGGTTTCCTTAGGTCATTGATCCTTGCATGTCTCTGACTAATGAAGCCCTAGACTGATATGGCATATATCAGTCCAATAAGCTCCAGGGAGCCTCCGGGGTTCACCCAGAAAATGGCGTGTCATTATATTCACAGCAGGTTTTTTGCCTTGTCCATTGACGGATATTTTGAATTGGAGCTTCTGGTGTTCCTTGTAGGATTTTCTTAAGTCTCGCCATACATGCACACACAAAAAATGTGTACATAAATACTATACACATAAGCATACAAGATAGTATATTTTTTCTGTAATTACATTAATGATGTCTTTAAAATCAAAACTTTAGAATATATTAACTTTATTTTAGATCTATTTTAGTTCATTTCACAGAACTCTGAAGTAGTCTATAAAATTGAAATTAAATTATCTGAACTTCAATTTTGTACTTATATTACAAAAGACGTATATGTCTACCTTAGGGTATTGTCCTGTTTTGTGCCTGCGGTAGAGGACAACAGCCACCACCAGTCCGCAGACTAACATGGCAGAGATGACAGTAAAGATGACAGTAGCAGCAAGATAGGGTGGCTCCAGAGCTACAGCTTGGCTTACCACCTCTCTGGCTCCAGAACGCACTTGCATTGGTGTCTCCCACCTGGGCTCTGACACCTGATGGTGGAACCACGATGCTCGTAGATCAGCAGGAAGACGTTCCTCGTCCACTTGTAGTGCTAGCTCGCCTTTCTTCACCTGGTGAGGAAATATTGTGTACTGTACATACATCTCTAGAAGAAATTAATTGGATATACTAAAAGTTTCAATGTTTTCTTATGTAGATAATGCAGAAGCAAACATCTGTTGAAATTTTGTGTAAGCGTATGTTCTCCATGTGTAATTTAAGAAGGGATATCACTCTTATAACAATCCCAGCTTTGTGCTGAGAGAGAGATATATATATATAGAGAGAGAGAGGGGGGGGGGGGAGGGAGAGAGAGGGGGAAGGGAGGGGGAGAGAGAGAGATAATAAATAAATACACTAATGTGTGTTGTGGGCAATGTATATATATGTTTCCACCTCTCTGGCTCAGAATATATAATGTATTAATTTGTATTAATACACGTGTATGTAATTACCTAAGTGTAATTACCTAAGTGTAGTTACAGGATGAGAGCTACGCTCGTGGTGTCCCGTCTTCCCAGCACTCTTTGTCATATAACGCTTTGAAACTACTGACGGTCTTGGCCTCCACCACCTTCTCACTTAACTTGTTCCAACCGTCTACCACTCTATTTGCGAAGGTGAATTTTCTTATATTTCTTCGGCATCTGTGTTTAGCTAGTTTAAATCTATGACCTCTTGTTCTTGAAATTCCAGGTCTCAGGAAGTCTTCCCTGTCGATTTTATCAATTCCTGTTACTATTTTGTATGTAGTGATCATATCACCTCTTTTTCTTCTGTCTTCTAGTTTTGGCATATTTAATGCTTCTAACCTCTCCTCGTAGCTCTTGCCCTTCAGTTCTGGGAGCCACTTAGTAGCATGTCTTTGCACCTTTTCCAGTTTGTTGATGTGCTTCTTAAGATATGGGCACCACACAACAGCTGCATATTCTAGCTTTGGCCTAACAAAAGTCATGAACAATTTCTTTAGTATATCGCCATCCATGTATTTAAATGCAATTCTGAAGTTAGAAAGCATAGCATAGGCTCCTTGCACAATATTCTTTATGTGGTCCTCAGGTGATAGTTTTCTATCTAGAACCACTCCTAGATCTCTTTCTTTATCAGAATTCTTTAAAGATTTCTCACATAATATATAGGTTGTGTGGGGTCTATGTTCTCCTATTCCACATTCCATAACATGACATTTATTAACATTAAATTCCATTTGCCAAGTGGTGCTCCATATACTTATTTTGTCCAGGTCTTCTTGAAGGGCATGACAGTCATCTAAATTCCTTATCCTTCCTATTATCTTAGCATCATCAGCAAACATGTTCATATAATTCTGTATACCAACTGGTAGATCATTTATGTACACAATAAACATCACTGGTGCAAGAACTGAACCCTGTGGTACTCCACTTGTGACATTTCTCCATTCCGATACATTGCCTCTGATTACTGCCCTCATTTTTCTATCAGTCAAAATTTTTCATCCATGATAGAAGCTTACCTGTCACCCCTCCAATATTTTCCAGTTTCCAGAACAACCTCTTATGTGGAACTCTGTCGAAAGCCTTTTTTAGGTCCAGATAGATGCAGTCAACCCAACCATCTCTTTCCTGTAATATCTCTGTGGCTCGATCATAGAAACTGAGTAAATTCGATACACAGGATCTTCCAGATCGAAAACCATACTGTCTGTCTGATATTATATCATTTCTCTCTAGGTGTTCTACCCATTTAGTTTTGATTAGTTTTTCCAATACTTTCACTATTACACTTGTCAATGATACAGGTCTATAATTGAGGGGGTCTTCCCTGCTGCCACTTTTGTAGATTGGAACTATGTTAGCCTGTTTCCACCCGTCTGCTACGATTCCTGTACACAGGGATGCCTGAAAGATCAGGTGAAGTGGAATGCTGAGCTCAGATGCACATTCTCTCAGAACCCATGGTGAAACGCCATCTGGGCCAGCTGCTTTGTTCTTACCGAGCTCCTTGAGCATTTTTTCCACTTCGTCTCTAGACACCTCTATGTGTTCTATGTTGTTCTCTGGAATTCTTATTGTATCTGGTTCCCTAAAGATTTCATTTTGTACAAACACACTTTGGAACTTTTCGTTTAGTGTTTCACACATTTCCTTTTCATCTTCCGTGAATCTATTTCCCATTTTCAACCTCTGAATATTATCCTTTACCTGCAATTTGTTGTTTATGAATTTATAGAATAGACCTGGTTCTGTTTTACATTTGTCCGCAATCCCTTTTTCAAAATTTCTTTCTGCCTCTCTCCTCACTGCCGTGTAGTTGTTTCTCACATCTTTGTATCGCTGGTATGTTTGGGGGTTCGGCCTCTTCCTGTATTGATTCCATTTTTGTGTCTTTCGGTCTCTAGCCCTCTCGCAATTTCTATTGAACCAATCCTGTTTCCTAGTTCTGCATCTCTGTTTTGGTATAAATTTTTTTGTGCCTTTATCATATATTTCACAAAACTTGCCATACATCTCATTCACTTCCTTGCCTAGCATCAAGTCTGTCCAATTATACTCACTAAAAAAATTTCTAAGGTCACCATAATGTCCTCTCCTGAAGTCTGGTTTTTCAACTGCTTCAACCTCCTTATTTTCTTCCAGCTTATAACGCATTGCATACTTTATTCCCAAAAAGACATAGTCACTTTTACCCAAGGGAGGAAGGTACTGAATGTCAAATATCTCTTCCTCCTTCCTGGTAAATATCAAATCTAGCATGGAGGGAACGTCCCCTTCCCTCATCCTCGTAGCTTGTTTAACATGTTGATACAAGAATGTTTCCAGGATGAGGTCTACAAATTTACAGGTCCAAAAATCTTCTGTTTTAGCTTCATATGCTTCCCAGTCTATGGATTTCAAGTTGAAGTCACCGACTACCAACAGTCGTGATCTATCGTTATCCGCTCCCGCTATAATCTCTCTCATTATTGTTATAAGACCTTCACGTTTACTATCTAGCTCCTCCTTTGACCATGTGCTGCTTGGCGGTGGACTATATGCATTTATCATCATTAGTTTATCATCCTCATAGCAGATCTCTAGTGCTATTATGTCAACTTCTTGTGGATTGGCAGTCATTATTTCCTTCACCTTTAGGTGTTCTTTTACCAGCACAGCAACGCCACCGCCTTTCCTAATTTTTCTGTCCCGTCTCCATATTGAGTAGCCCCTTTGGAATATGACCTCATTTAAAATTACATCTTCAAGTTTTGTCTCCGTGAGTGCAACAATGTCTGGTGTCTGCAGCTGTATTACATCACTTAACTCCAGTATCTTCGATCTCACTCCATCTATGTTGGTGTATGCAATCTTCAGGAACTTGTTCCCCCTCTCCTTATTCTTCACTCCCCCTCTCTCTATTGATTTTGTTGGTTTGCCTTTATGTACCACTTTAGTGGTTTGCCTACCCCTATCACTTTGTAGAAAAAAGAATTTATTTCTTCTTCATTCCTGCTCTCATTTAAATGTTTTGCCTCGGCGAGGTTCAGTTTCAGCTTCTCTCTGTCTTCTTTTGAAAGATCTCGTCTTAACGACCACCCTTTCCCATCCTCATCCCTTTGCAATTTTCTAGCATTCCTTAGTACTTCTTCCATCTGTTTGGCACCGTTTAGGTGCCAAACATTGTAAAATACACAAATGTGTGTATTTTTATATGTATATATAAAAATACATGACATATTATAGTATATATATATATATATATATATATATATATATATATATATATATATATATATATATATATATATATTATAATAATAATATATATATATATATATATATATACACAGTGGAACCTCTATTAACGAGTTTAATCCGTTCTGGCACTGAGCTCGTTATCTGGAAAACTCGTCTTAAGAAACAAATTTCCCCATTTAAAATAAAAGAAATAAATTTAATCCGTTCCACTCCCAAAAACACCCATACTTGTATGACATTTTATAATGTAATTATAAATGTTTTGTTGTACTGCTTTCATGTTTACTTTACCTTATGAAGAGTCGTTGCTGGCTTGAGGGAGACGATGGGGAGGTGGGAAGGAGGAGAGGGGTTATGGTGTGGAAGGAGAATCCACCTCCGAGTCAAGCAGGTTCTCTCTTCTTGGGAATTTCACCCCACTGGGACTGGGTTGTAGTTCACTATCACTGGCTCTTTTCTCTACTTTTGCAAAGAACGTATCTATTGACAATTGCTTTTGTCTTTGTTTTAGGATGTTCCTAAACAAGACAGCAAATTGTCATTAAACATGTTCACACACCGGGTTGTTACTGCTTTATCAGGGCAGCTTTTCCAAGAATGCAGTCACCTTTTCAAACATTCCCAACACTTCCCTGATCTCACTGGAAGAGGCAGCAGCCTCCCTTACCTCCTCATCCCCTTACTAATGGTGCAAATTGTTGATGAGGCCCTGCCATACTCCCTGGTGAGATCAGTCACACAGACACCACGCTCATGCTTTGCTATAATTTCCTTCTTCAAATCCACAGTAATTGTGTCTTTCTTCATCTTGACAACACTATCTTTAGCAAGCAGCTTCTTTGGTGACATTGTGCTGTACAAATTGTAGTCACAAAACCACAAAAAACAAAGAAAAGCACAAATAAATGCAGAGGGATGCTTGTCGTGTATGATACAACAACAACACTGGCGTCGGAGGCGTCCGAGAATTTGCGAGAACCCGCGAGACGCTAAGAAGCACCATGTGGTTTTGCTTGTTAATAGAGGTGAAGCTCGTCAATAGAGACAAATTTGCTGCGAGTGGCTCGCTCGTTACTGGAAATGCTTGTAAATAGAGCCGTTCGTTAATCGAGGTTCCACTGTATATGTATTAACAAATCACCATAAACAAGAAACAGTGATACTGTATATCTAAGTTTCTAAAATGCAAAATGCTAAATTGTTTCACAATCACTAAATCACATTCTATTACAGAATTATGAGAAAAATCTATTAGGCAAACTATAAATCAAATACCAAGGTTTTGCTAGACGTGTAAAATGTCAAATAGACGTAACCCCACGTTTAGTATTTTTGCTTACCTTTTCCTCAAGTTGGTATGCTACATCAATTTTGTTATTGCCAAGAAGTGTGAATTTAACCTGAGTGAGGTCAGGAAGGTCTACGACGCCCACCTCATTTTCCAGGGTCTCGGCAGTCATTTGTTTCAGAAGATTATTCACCTGAAAGATTCACGTGCATCAAATTTGTGACAAACATTATCTATTCATCTTGTGCAAAGAATTTAATTGACCTCTTTCGAGCAAGTCATTATCTACTATGGTTTCAAGAAGGCTTTATCTGAATTTTCTATCCAATGCTGTTCCCACTCCCCACTATCTGGCAAGGAAGATAACACAAAACCTCAGAGAAACTGTGGCACAAACATTGCCTCAGGCCCTTTTAGCATACCTGATCACGTATTTCTTTGCCTTTAGCTTTGCCTAGATGCTTTACGCCAGCTTCACGTCCACGGAAGCCCAATGTCACCACTACTGATTCTACAGCCACTTGATCTGCAATTTCAGTGAATGAAAATTAATAAATCAATGATAATGGGCCAAAATTTTATTCAAATGCTATATACACATTTATATTAAATAATTGTACTGTGAAAAATCTATTTTAGAATTTTTCATGAAGTACATAAAATAAGCATACACAATTACGACACAGTACTCTATTCTTGAGTCTATACTTCGTGGTGTACGTTTAATTAATATACTTCTATGTTAGTGCTACATGCTTTTATTAAACTGTACTAAATATTATTAAACTATCAATATTTGTGTAATTCTTAACATAAATTACACAAATACATAATAACAAAGGATAAAAATCCACACTTTATGTCTGTAAGAAATCATTACCATTGCTTATTAATATTTATATTAAATGAGGCCACTGGAGATGGTGACCTTCAGGTAAATTCATATATCTAGGGGTAAAAGAAACTGATAACATACCACAGTCCCTCTCGCCACGAGTGAAGTAGACAGTAGGCTGAGTCTTGTGCCCAGTCTCATCCACACACCAACATTTTGGGTTTTCTGTAAATCTCTGCTCGTCACTGGATGGCGTGTAACACTGTGTAGGGATAAATCGGCCCTCTTCATCACACTGAGCTACGTACTTCAAAGAGTTATTCTCCTGAAGATGTCGTTGAAGGAGCTGACAGCGTGTCAGGGTTGGCTCTCCCTCCAGGTAAATGGTGACAGGGCCGCTGCTCTTCTCACTGATGTTGTCATTCTCTTCTTCACTGCTGTTCATGTTTTCATCTTCATTTTTGTCATTGTCACTGCTGCTAGAATCCTGCTGTACAGCAAAAATGCAGGTTTAAAATACCTTAAATTTGCTTGGAAACTATTTTTAAGCCTACAGTACTGTACTTGTAATTTAGTCATTTTACAATCTTTTTATTTGTACAACAGAAAATTTGCATGACCTACAATGGGTTACACATGTGTATTACATTTTTCTTTTGTTACTTTTTAATGCTTAAAAAAAACATGTTATATATAAATGTCAATATTAAAAAGCAAACATACAGTATACCTCTTCAAAAGTGAAAGCGAGGCGTGTCTTTGGGGGCTCGGTGGGAGAGAGACATGTGAGAGAGCGGCCCTGGTCATCAACAAAACTTGGGGTACAGGTACAAGCGTCGGCAACACATACGGCTCCCGGGTGGCCATGACATGTCTGATTGACACATGCTGTGGCTCGAGAGCATGGCACAGGCTCCATGCTGGCTGCTGACCAGTAGGGACACAATACAAAATCTGAGGAAAAATATTTTATACAATAAACTGCACAATTGGAAGCATTATACAGGAAGTTAATGCCACCACACACTAACTAAATATCCACAACAGAAAATTTCAGCCATTTTATGAATAAGGTGTAAATGTAATACTATTTGTGAATCTTTATAAAAGCTTACAGTCAGTCATTCACTCCCTACAAACTGCTTTTACTTGGTTCTATTTATTTGCATATCCTGTGCACTGCTAATGTGAGATATTTATATTATATATATACTGTATATTATATATATATATATATATATATATATATATATATATATATATATATATATATATATATATATGTCGTACCTAGAAGCCAGAACGTACTTGTCAGCCTACTATGCAAGGCCCGATTTGCCTAATAAGCCAAGTTTTCATGAATTAATTGTTTTTCGACTACCTAACCTACCTAACCTAACCTAACTTTTTCGGCTACCTAACCTAACCTATCCAATAAAGATAGGTTAGGTTAGGTTAGGTAGGGTTGGTTAGGTTCAGTCATATATCTACGTTAATTTTAACTCCAATAAAAAAAAATTGACCTCATACATAATGAAATGGGTAGCTTTATCATTTCATAAGAAAACAAATTGAGAAAAGATATTAATTCAGGAAAACTTGGCTTATTAGGCAAATCGAGCCTTGCATGATAGGCTGAGAAGTGCGTTCTGGCTACTAGGTACGACATATATATATATATATATATATATATATATATATATATATATAACTGAAAACTCATATCCTGTGCACTGCTATATTGTCAGTGCACAGTTGCATATTGTCCTGGGGACCATTCAGGCTTGTTCGCATATATATATATATATATATATATATATATATATATATATATATATATATATATATATATATATATATATATATATCTCATGCAGCATAATGTCCCTTTTCTTTGCGCATCCTAATACTGTACATCCCTCTCCATCAAGCAACATAATCAACTACAGTATTCTCCTCCATTCAGCATATTAAATCTGTTGTTCATGCAGCATCCTTGTCACATCCATTCTGCCTAACCAAGGGCCACTTTCTTACCCGATTGCACACTACTGTACTTTAATTGCACTTGCACAATCGTTTCTTTTGTCAATCACAAATCAGAAACGTTTAAATTTATAACAAAATTCCAACACTTCTCTACTTGCATTAATTTCACACACAATTTAGTTAGTTTCCCTGCTATTGATGTGATTTATCAGAAGAGCTGTGCAGTCTGCCTTTATCAAGCAGATACACACCACTAACTGCAGTCATGTAATGACACTTTTTTTCCAACATGTTTTTTTTTTCTAAGAACATGTTATAGTTCTTAAGTAATAAGTACAGAAATTTTATATTATATTAATAAATTCAATAATAAGCAAATCATTTTGGCCATCTCTTCACTCCAGTGAACAGCCATGGGGAACATTTCCTTCCCTTTGCATACTTTTACACTTTATCAAATTTGAAAAGAGTCACTGCATGCAATGCTTCTTTTCTTGGATCCTTATTGAACATAAACTGATTAGAAAAAAAATTACAAAATAAACATCAATTTAACTGTAGGTACCGATTGATTAAAATATCAAACGTGGTCCAAACAGACGCCAATTACTCACTGGGGCAGTGGGCCTCGCATCTGCTCTTGCTCTTGAAGTTGTTGCCATTGCCACCACACCCACTGTAGAGGAAGGGCTCACATTTCCTGGTGTCAGTGTTGTAGTACCACCGAGCCTCCCCGCCCGAGCACACCCCAGCCTGAACTGGTTGGCTGCAGATATCTGAAGGTACAGGAGCACATGATAATTTGAATAATTCCTGTTGCCAGAGGACAGGAAGCTTGTACAAACTACTGACCTCCCCAGGATGCAACCCACAACAATTGCTGAACTTACGAGTACCTATTTACTGCTGCTAGGTGAATAGATGCAGCAAGTGAAAAAGAAATGTGCCCAACCATTTCTGTTTCAATCAGGGGTCTAACCTTGGAAATTCAACTGTTGAGTCAAGAACATCGACCACTGCCTTACAAGATTGTACAATATTATGACATCACATGCCAAAATCTTCAACCGATTCAAAATTTGAGACATGGATGTCTCGGACATCCATGGCTTAAAGTTTCTTCTAGTTAATACAGAAGGGTCTGATCAGTAATGTTTCAGAATAACAGTTAATTATCCTATTTTTGTAAAGAAACAATAAGTTGAGAGTAAACGTAATAATGTTCTCATCTCTAACATCATGGCAAGTGGTAATGCTATATTAAATTGTACTGAAATTGCTTGGATTCTATTGAATGGTGTTATACTGCTTGATGAATCCAGATTACATATACTTCTTTATGATGTTGCTTTCTTGTTTGATGATAAGTTTAACTGTTCTTAAAATATATTAGGTGTTGCTCCTGATCTATGTATGTGATACAAATGTTGATAGCAACACCAGAACACTGTGCAAACTTGGGAACATAAATTCTCACATTTAAATGTTTATAGATGATTCTTGAAGGTAAAATTTGAAAGAAAGTACTGCATATACCCCCCTTTGATAGATGAACATCAATTTGCATGTCATACCCGATAGCACTAATAAGTGTTCACATCAAACACAGAAATCAAAAGTCACATTGAATGACATTTAAGGCTGCTTAACTCATAGTCAAATCAGCATCACAATATAATACAGTACATTAATATTAGATGTTCATAATTTATATCCATCAAATCCTAAACACACAACATTACTAAACAGAATAATGGTAATTTTTGTATGGTATTACATTATCTACTAACAATTTAGTAAGCAATAAATATAAATTGAAAAAAATGTAATCAATTCATATGCCTGGCATCACCCTACACTCCATATCACCTCTTTCCTTCACAGGCAGTTAGCATCTGTTAGATTTGACAAAGAAAGCCCTTACAGGCAAAAGACCATCTTCAATCAATTTATTTGGCATTTTCTTTGTATAGTGAACACTGCTCTCTACATAACCAATTATGATACACTATTCACAGATTCTAATTCTTTAACTAAGTCGCTCTTCTCTAGTATTCCTTTATCAATCCTCACCTGGATTTTGACACTCCTGTTGGCACTCTTCCATTGTATTGAAATTGTTATCGTTGCCAAGACACCCACCAAAAATGAATTCTTGGCACTGGTCGGCAGTGGCATTGTAGAAGTAACGTTTGAAAGAGGCGCGGCACATGCCCCTAGCCAGGGTCTGGGAGCAGCGACCCTCGCAGTGAACTTTCTCTCCACTTGCACTGCAATGGGATATGAGAAATGTATTATTTAAATAGAAAAATAAAGAAGCTCAACATGCAAAATATTCAAGGTAATTAATGTATCTATGAGCCACTAGAGAAGACAGAACACTTAAAACAAAAACAAAATTTATGAAATCCTACAGATAACCGTCCCCTCCTAAGTAGGGTCCTTGATATACTTAAAAACACATTACCTTTAATTTGTCGGCCAATGATTTGAATGATCATGGTGGGGACAAAGCTCATGGATCTTCTAAGTGAGAGTGGAAATGAAATATGGAAATGAAAAGGCCGCACATTTCGTACATTGAGTTAATTTGGATCTAGAGTGTGATCCTGAGAGAACTGCCAGTGTATATGATTTGTGTAAAGTTAATTTCAGTTTTAAGATTGTATGTATGTATGTATGTATGTGTACCTAAGTATAATTGCCTAAGTGTAGTTACAAGATGAGAGCTACGCTCATGGTGTCCCGTATTCCTGGTACTCTTTGTTGCATAACGCTTTGAAACTACTGACAGTTTTGGCCTCACCACCTTCTCATTTAACTTGTTCCAACCGTCTACCACTCTGTTTGCAAAAGAAACTTTCTAATTTTTTTTTGGCACCTTTGTTTCCTTAGCTTGAATCTCTGTCCTCTTGTTCTTGAAATTGCTGGTTTCAGGAATTCCTCTGTTAATTTGGTCGATTACTGTTGTTATTTTGTAAGTGGTGATCATATCAGCTCTTTTTCTTCAATCTTCTAGATTTGACATATTTAACACCTCTTAACTCTTGTTTTTCAGTTCTGATAATTACCTGATGTGGCAGTGACGTCTGGACACTAGCACATCAGTCAATGATTTGGGATGTGAAGCAGCTGGCTTACCTGAAAGGGTCCTCCTCCTCTCTGTCGGAGGAGTGGGTCATCCATTCCCCTGGGTCGACGCTAGTGAGCAAGCAGGCTAATTGGATGACGAGTGCTTGTTTCCCTTTGGGGGGGGGAAGAGTTCTTTGACTCTGTTCGAACATAGGTCGCAATTTTTAACCAGTTAGAGGTTTGTATTGGTTCACCTACCGTTCTGGATGCATTCCCTAGTCGATGTCAGATATGACAAACTCCAAATGTAGAGTGCTCATATGGCACCTCTCCGAGGGGCCAGGTTCTGACTCGTGGCCCCAGGTAGGCACAGAACTCCAGGACTGATGTCACAAAACTAATATGGCACATGTCAGTTTGATAGCTTCAGGGAGCCGACAGGACTCACCCACAGAAAATAAAGAATTTCCAAAAAATTGTTTTTCATTATAGAATGATTAAATTGTATATAAAATATATGAAAAACATAAAAATATATTAATATATACTTTTTACTGGGTGGAGGAGCTGTTAAAGATTGCACAAGAGCCATGTTATCTAGCATCTGTCAACACACACATCATCCAGGACCAAAGAGCCAAAGCTCAACCCCCGCAAGCACAATTAGGTGAGTACACAATGGTGAATTACCAACACTGAAGTATTTGAGACATGACTCGTGTATTCTCCTTGGATATTTCACTAATTGTTCATCACTTGTTTCCAGTTATTTACAAGTGTATGTGTTGAATAACTTGATAATTCACATAATATACAAAAACTACGATTGAGTACAGTTGGTATTATACCTGAGTGAGGGAGTAGGCCATGGGTGAGGGTGTAGTAAACCATGGGCGAGGATATAGACCACGGGTGAAGGAGACGACCATGAGCGAGTGTGTTGACCACGAGCGAGTGTGTAGATCAAAGGGTGAGGAGAGTGTATACCATGGTAGAGAGCATACATCATGGATGAGGCTGTACACCTTAGGCGAGTGTGTAGATTATAGGTGAGGGTCTATATCGTAGGTGAAGATGTTGACCACTGATGACGGTGTAGATCATGGGTGAAGGTGTAGTGAAAACTATATAAATGTAGTATTTGTGGGTGTTGAGCTGGGTGATGAGATAGGGCCTAATTGGCATCATATGGGTGACACTACAGACTGAAACAAAGCAATATGCCAAATGTGCCACCCACAAATGATGGCAGGTTCCTAGTACACATAACACATGATAATGGTTCAACTGGCAATTGGTTTACTTGCTATACTTCATTACAACAATGTGGAGTTGTGAAAACCATATAAACATCATTGGTATGCATATCACGTAATTATGAAGGAATTTTATACAACGACAACCGCATTCACCTAGTAACATAACTGTGAAATGATAGCAGGATTTCTTCATGGTTCAAGGTAAACTCCATTACATCCACATACAACTATTATGTACAGTACTTGGTTTCATCATACATGTAAAATCCAGACAATAATGTTTAAATCATGATATGATAAATGCATTACAGTACACTGTAAATCATCATATGATAACTGCTCTTTAAGAGTTAAATTTTCAATACAATACGAAGACAAATGTTTGAAAAAAATTATACCAACTTGAAGTTAACACAGGAAGTATTTTATGGCATATTTAATTTTTAATGTTGGAAACCAGTCTAAAGTTGTCAGGAAATTTGCAGAAGTAATCTTTAGGTATAAATCATTAAATCATAAAAAAAGATTAGTGTTACCGCAATACAGCACTCATAAATGATATGGTAATACCTGTAAAAGGAGACACGGCAGTCATTGCAGGGATCGGCCACACAGACGGCTTCGGGATGCGAGTGACATGAAGCATGAAGACATTCGTTTTTACACACCCGTGCCCTCACTCCACGTGCACATACAAATCCAACGGAGACCTGTTCCAGAATCTGACCTATAAGCAATAATTGGGTTATCAAGGACCAATCCAGTTTTTCCATACAGCAAATACATGTCTAAATAATTTGTGTTATTATTTATTACATGCAACACTACTCGACTACTAAATTTAGTCCAGTTTTATTGCACTACAAAATGCTCACACTGTATATCCACAGAGCTAACTGGATGAATCACAGGAAAGAAACTTAAAATGATGCTTAAATTATTACATACCACAAGAAAATGTGTATACCGGTTCTCTTCATAGTAGTAATAACTAAGATTAACCAATGATAAAATCCATCTAACTCAGTATGTTGAGTTAGGGGCACTATATCCATGGAATCTCTTACCTGCTCAAGATGCAACTACCAAGACAGTGATACACTTCAAACTACAGCTGGAAAAATGCTAAAAGAAATATGGATGGACATTCCATAAGACACCGGCTTCCTGTTCCCACTGCAGCTTCGAGAAATGCTGGCCATTGAGTAAATTGTGTGCGTTTAATCATGTTACATATGAGAAGGAACTTTAACCTAAGTGATGTATAACAGAGAACCAGCAAGTCTCACCATTTGGCCCACACCGGACATGTCCACGGGTGAGTGTCTCGTGAATGGGATGGCCCTTGACATCCACACACCAGGTGAGGCCACCTGCACGTTGTTCCCGTGCATAAGCTCCATCAGCCTCACATACCGGCGCCTGCACTGTCATGCCTTGTGTCGAAGCAGGCGTCTCTGTAGGAACATTATGCAAAAACCATGAAAATTTAGAGTCATGGATGTCCTTGTTGTTTGCTTCTTGCAGGTTTGGTTTCAAGACCCAATAGTGTAAGTTGTTGGGCACAGTTTTACTACTTCCTCATATTCCAGCTCATTCTGTCTTCATTATGACTATATATCACTTGAAGAGAATAGGCATGGTCATTATCAGGAGACAGTGCTAAGCCAGTATGACTATACAGGACTTGTATCAAGTCCTATATAGTCATACAGCCTTAATACAATGTCGTAATAATTACCTTTGCTGTCATCATATCTCTTTCAAGTGCCATAAAGTCATACTGACTTAGCACTTTTTGATAATTACAGCGACATGAATGAATCAATTGGTGTAAAATAAAATATTGTTGTAAAAATTTAATTTTATTAACAGCATTAACTTTCAAGAAGCTGTATAGATTTGCATTTTCAGTACTTGGTGAAAGGAGTTAGAAGTAATGTGAATACATTTACATGCACCTGCTCATCTGCCTGTTTTCATCAATGTTAAATACTTGTGTGTTGTATATCTATCAGTATGAAAAAGAGTTTTAACTCACCTCAAAAGAATTAAGCTGCTTATGACCATGCTATCAATTCCTCTCCCCATGTAACCATTTTAAAGGGAGATACTCTGAGAAAAATGACTGAATTTAAACGTTGCTTCCACTCACCCTGGGGTTCGACACACACTGCCCCACACCCATTGAAGCAGCACTTTCTGGAGCCCTCACAGTGGGTGTCGAACATGCATTGCTGGCTGGGCGCACACGTCAGGAGGGAGAGGTCGCTGGGGGGATTCGGGCATGTTCCAGGCTTGGGCACCAGATCTAAATAACAAGCCGTGCAGGGCGACCATTACTTGTGGCTATACATGTGGTGAGAAGTATGCAGAGGGGGTGTGCAAATGGGGTGACAGGAGTGTGTAGAAGCAGTTGTGCAGGGAGGGTGTCCAAGGGCAGATAAGCAGGAGAAATGTGTGAATATGTGCATTAAAACTAGCAGAATTGGTGAAAAAATTTGTGAATTTAGTGAAAATTAGTGAACAAATTTGTGAAGGGATGGTAGTGTCAATTACATGCAATGGAAGAAGAAGTTGCATGTGGTTGAAGACATGAGGAAGTAAAAGCAGTGATAGGAAAAAATGACTATCACATATAATATACCAAGCATTTACACCACAATGCATCAAATAAATAAAAGACAAGATACAAACATAAGAACTGAGAAATATAAGAAATAAAAAGTTATGGTTGACAGTAAAGAAAAGGCAGACGAGGAAGGATTATAGTCTAGAAAATAGCAGGGTGAAATTTTCTACAAAACAAAAAGTTGTATTTGAATGAAGTGTGAAGAATAAAGATGAAACAATACTAGAGGTGCCACATGAATCAAGTAACAAACGAATTCACAAAGCTTACTCTTGCTTTACACGTGAAAGATAATGGTGTATTAGGGAGAATAAAATGCAATACCATGCTCAGTTTAGGTGTGTTATGATACACACTATACATGATCAGATACCTTATCTACACACATACACACACACACATCATCCTCACTCAACATATCAATCCTTTTGTGAAATTAATTCTTATTGTTATTATAATACTGTATTATTATTAATTATTATTACTGTATTCTTAATACTGTACAGTATTATTATTATTATTATTTAATTCATCTGGGCTCTAGGAGACTTGTAGCCATGGATCCCACGTGTGTGAGGCAGAAGCTCTGTCGACTGAATTATGAGTAGTCTAAATAGTCGATAGAGCTGCCTTACACGTGTGGGGTTCGTGGTTCGCGTCTCCTAGAGTTCACTCCATATTCACAAATACGTTTCTACATTTGAGACGTCTATTCAGTATTTGTTTCAACTTATTATTAAGGAGAAATTCTTTCCTCTTCAAGACTGGTTATTGTCATATGTCGATTCCATGGGCCAATGAGGTGGGTAGCCGATTTGGGTTATTATTGCCCAGTTTTCATACAAATGATGTAAATATAGTTATTATACATCTACAGTACTGTATATGAATGTAATGGAGCAGTGAAAAACCTATGAACCTATGAAAAAAACTATGCTATCATTTTGAAACTGCTTATTAGTTAGTACCTTGCAATTATTGTCAAATCACAATTTGGCATTTCCCACTAGTGTTTGAGTTTATGTTTGGTTGACATTATGAAACAGAATAGCAGCAAAGGAATGGGTTGCACACTTCTTTTGAGCAGTGCTAGAAACAAGTTTATGCAGAATATAGATATATAGTGTCTCTTTTTGTCCATTATGTGTACATAAATAAAGCTATTCATCACAATGTGTAAACTAAAGTGAAACAACATAAAACTTGAGCAGCGTGTCTCCTCACTCCTCCATCAGGAATCAGCAAACTGCATATCTCATGTCGACATACCCAATGACTCCTCTACCCAGCTTCTTCATACAGTGTATGAAGCCAGAAAAGGCAAAGATATTTGTAGGTTTTTGCCTTTTTCCTCACTCTTTCCAGGCAAATGTATCATTGTATAAGGACAAATTATTATTTATATTTTTTTATGCACAGGTGAAGTTTCAATTTTGGCAACAGTCACACTTTAAATTCTGTATTCACACGTCATCTGTCATATGGTGTATCCAGTCACTATACCTTTATCTGATCCTGGAACAAATTCAGCATGACAGGTCAGAAGTACTTTTTGTCTTATGCAATGTCACACACAAACAAATGTTGAGGAAAGTTAAGAGCAATGCCAAGCTGTAAAGAGAGCTATTCCTGTGTTGGATTTGAAATTGCTGCTTTAGTTAGGTTCATGCCAAAGAGTACAACATGCCACATGCTATTCGGCACTTATTTTAAAATCTATTCATGAAAGACAAGACAAAGTATTCGTAGAATTAGAAAATACTTACAGAGGAGAGTGAAGCTGCAACTGAGGTAAAACTAATAGAGTTGCCCTTCATTACAGGAATGGGAAGAATAAGGAACCTACCATTGGGGTATGAAGTCATTAATTAATTTTGAAAGTACAGTTAATCCTTAAATGGCTCCAATTGCTATCTGCGATTATTTTTTGTGCTCAAATTGCCGTGTGTCATTTTTTAAATTAGTTTTGTGAACTATTTGTTTTTCTTCATATGCACTTCTTATGACTTTTAAATACATGAACCATTTAAGGGTTAAATTAAGTGAAGTATATAACATATACTTTTTTTTACAATCAATCAATCAATCTGTCAGTCATTCTCCTGTTATTTACATCAGAAATCCTTCCGAGTTGACTCTACATACAAAATATGTCTAACAAACATAGAAAGTAGCATGGTACATGCAGAAGTATAATTAATTATATATACTTATAACCTATACAGTACATTATTATAAAATAAAATGTGGTTCATTGTTTGTTTCCTTATCATTAGCTATGTACAAATTTGTTTGTTACTGCTATTTATGTATAAAGAAGAAACTTCAAATTCAGAACTGTATTTGTGGCAGAATCTTGCAATGTATTCATTTGTAATTACAGTACAGTACCTCTAAAACTAGATTATCAGTTTAGTGGGACATCACAACTGTAAGCAGGAACTAGGCAGGAGCACTGCACTACTTCTAACCCCTTACCACCTGATGTAGTCTTAAACATAAGTTCCAAGATCTACCACCAGATGGTTATATAGTTAGTAACAAGAGAGACCTTCCCTTCCCTTTACCACCATAGATAAGTCCTGATAGTTTCAAGCTTATCAAAATTCTCTCTCTCAACACTGCATGGATACCACTACAAATAAAAAAAAAATTACTAACACTGCAAAAATTGCAGGATATCCATAAGGGATCAAATAATAAAGACAAACTTGAAGTCGGCAACATACACCCTGAGTACCGAGGTACAAATATTAATATAAATATGTTTTTTAGGAGCCACCAAGGACCAGCGACAAGCACCCATATCTAAGGTGCTCGCAGAGGCTTGGATAACATGTGACATATATATCTTAAGAAAAATTATCTTTAATAATTACCTTCAGTAGGGACAGCTTCAAATGTGTCATCAAGGGTAAGTCTTGGTGGGAACTCCTCAATACTTGGGAAAAGGTCGATGGTTGTGCTAAGAGGGCCTGCTAGGCGCCGAGCTAGATCATCAGGGTCCATCAGAGTTGATTCCACCAAGGGTGACTCAGGTACTGTATTCTGAAATTGTAAACATAAAGCTTTAATGTCAGTACCAGTTGAATATACTGTATTTCACACAGACTTCATTAATTTAGGCAGACAATTTCTTACTGGAATTTGCCTGAGGACCATCATATTTAGTGGCCTCGATGGGGTCAGGAAGCCGGCGGCTTGTCGAGGGTCCTCCCATTTTTTTTTATGGAAATAATATTGCAGTGTTTCTTTTACTTTTCATTTCTTATCAATGAAAATAATAAATATATATTTATTTTTTTGTAAAATAAAATAAAAAAACAGCATTCAGTGTAATGAAACGACATTTTCTGGGTGAGCCCTGGAGGCTTCCTGAAGCTATCAAACTGACATGTGCCATATTAGTTTGGTGCAATCAGTCCCTAGAGTTCGAGTGCCTACTGGGCCAGAACCTGGCCCTCTCAGAGAGGCGCAGAGAGCAATGACCATATGAGCACTCGACATTTAGAGCACAACCACTCCAAGAAGAGCGAGAACGAAACCCCAGAGCAACAACAAATCGGAAATAGGGCAGCAACTGGTAGAAGCCGCCAACGAAAACTGAATAACCCAGTCCTCTGGAAACAACAGGGGACAAAACGGTCCCCCCCCCCCTCTCTATTCAAAGACAGGCTGATGGCACCAAACTAATATGGTACATGTCAGTTTGATAGCTTCAGGGAGCCAACAAGGCTCAACCAACAAGCCAACAACATAGAAAATGTTATTTCAAATAAAATTTATAAAATATAAAATTCAGAATTTTTTAAAATTTTATCTTCTATGAAGCATTTGTTTTCCAAGATCCAAGAAATATAATAATTTAATATAATGAACTAGGCTATACAGACCTTTACTTGTGGCACAGCACGAATGAGCCTCGAGTGTGCCTGTGCCTCAACCACAACATCCCCAGACACTGTTAGTGACCCAGGGGACTCAACATTCATGTAACGGGCCCGACGGAGGGATTCCGAGTTGGAGACATCATCCATGTCAAGAGGTCGAGCGTGGTATACATCCACATTTCGGAAGAGGTCAACATCATAGTGCACTTGACGATCAGCATGTGAAGTGGGGAATGTGCGTCCTGGCCATGCAAATGTTAAATACATAAATATAAATATTTTAAAACATATGTCAAGACGATCAATGATTTTTTGATGGGAATTGTTACAAAAAGCATCAAGGTGAAATGTACTGTAATTCGCACACAAAAATTTAAGGTAAATATCCCTGCACATTCTTTAACAAATAAATCTAACCAGAAAGCCCAAAACTGCATGAGAAGTACAAAAATTATATACCTGAGAAAGCCATTGCAGGCCTTGTAAAGATTGGCGAGTTAAGCACTCGCTGCAGTTCTCTCTGGCACTCAGTAAGACCGACTTCACAGTTTACTGGGGAGTTAAACTCGTCAACAAATTGTACCAAGCAGCCACCACACGGATTAACTCGGCACACAGCATGGGGGTGGGAGAAACACACCTGGTTCTCACACAGGCTCTTGTCACAAACGTGGACTGTCTGACCAGGCTCACAAACTGCAATGTTACATCATACACTAACATTATCATCTATGAAGGCAGAAATCTAATGAATATGATATATACTGTACATGCACAATACTGAATACCTAACTGTCTCATTATTAATTTCATACTACTAAGTATGCTAACAATAATATAAACCTTTCATATATTTATGCTCATCTCTTCAGAAAAATGAATGGGATTAGCTAACTGTATGAAGATATATATATTCCGTTGCTTATTCTGTACAATACAATATACTGTACTGTGTACTGTATATAATTTTAGACGAAGCCAAAGTATAGAAAACACACATTACTAGGAACAGTTTGACTGCATGAGAATAATAATAATAAAAAAATTCTCAGGCCAGCCTGTTCCAGTACACAAACATGGAGGTGTAATGAGTACAGAGGGTGCAGCCATTACAGATAAATGTAAAGAGAGCTTACATGGATGCAATGGTTACATCCATCTGTAATCATATGAGTATTGCTTGCAATAATTAGAGAGGTGTGTAACAAGTTCATAAGGTGCGAGGATTACAGAGTGTGTGTGTTGTAATGAGTATTGGGGTTATGAGGAGTTTGGAAAATTTACCAAAAGCCAGTTCTGAGAATTATCCTACACTCACAACCCAGCCAGAAGAATGGGGCATTTTTGGTGATAACTTGATCATTATATATGGCCAATACTGGCAGTAGATTGCAGGCCTGCATATCCGCCACAACCGAGATAATTTAGCATGTTTTTTTAATAATGCCCAATTCCCTTTAGAAAATCCTACCTTTGTTCTGGCAAGATTTCTTATATTTGGGGGAAGGAAATTGAAATATCAATGTTCAAGCAGTGTTCTCTGAGTGTGTCTATGGCAATTAAATGGGTCTATTTTATATTTCATATGTTATTTATTCCAGTAAGTTATTGCTTGGTGCAGATTATGGAACCTAATTTCCAGCATTTTGTATATTTATATGAATTTACCGGAGGGCCACCATCTCTGGTGATCTCACTAGGGATGGGAAGCTGGAAGCTCATCAATGATCCCAACTATTACCTATTATTACTGAAGATTTTTTCCAGCTGAAATTTAAACAAATTTAAACATTTACCAACATTTTAACACATCCAAGTTTAATGGAGCCCCGGATTTAATGAGCAAGGTATATCCCAATGTTCGTCCTTAAATCGAGTGCATAATTTGACTTCGTATTTACGGCTGGGGCAAGTCAGCAATTTCACGGGTTTACCCTATGGGTGAAAAGCATTTTCTATTTTCTGACCTACATTGTTTTTTTTATTGCAATTCCTACTTGTTGAGCAACTTCAAGCCATTGAAACCTTCATCTGGTACCTGAAGGTATTCTTGAACAAAGTGTATTGGACGCTATCAACAAATATTATCTTTATGTATATGGCCTATGACCTAGTGTTTGACAAAGACACGCAGTCAAACTGTATACCCAGCAATGTTCATCGTGAACAAGAATACTTACTCATATTGGTAGGAGTAGTTGGATCAAAGTTCATTCTCCTGGACGACCTGGCAGTACCCTGACACTGAGGGGCACCACGGGTGAGAGAGCCCGGCATCTGGTCCCCTTGGGGTGAGACACACCAGCACACTCCTAGTTCCTCGAGGCACTGCTCTGGGAGCCATGAACCCCGGTTCTTGTCACACTTGGGAATGAAGGTTACCTAAAACGGCAAAGATCATTGACAACATTAGCTGTCCAAGTGAACAGTGCGTCTACAAATTAATGTGATGTGCTGCGTTTTCAGGTAGATGTCAAACTAAATATTGTTGCACATGAATGAGAAATAAAAATTAAACAAATTTGTAAATTATAAAAACATTATAAACTTCTCATAAAATGATAGTCGACACTTTAAGAGAGTCACTCACTTCCCATGCCACACTATATATGGATGATAGCTTTTGTAGTGAATCACTTTTATGCAGAAAACAGATAAATACATTTATAAATATTATTTTTACATAAAAAGATAATAATATATTGTGCAAATTATTATTATTATTATAATTACTGTATACTGTATTATTATAAAAAGCATCAGGATCCTGGGTTCGATTCCTGGGTAGGATAGAAATGGTTGGGCATATTTCCTTCCAATAAATGCCTTTATTCACCTAGCAGTAAATAGGTATCTGGGAGTTAGGCAACTATTATAGGGTTGCATCCTGGGAATGGCCAGTAGTTCAACCTATGGGGGAACCTTGATACAAGCCTAAAGTATAAAATATTCACATGCTTCCTGTACCCAACAATGGGAATTATATACCAATTTATCTTAGTACAATGTTATAGCTACCTTTTTATCCTTGTCAGCATTTCGTATATTCTTCTCTCTCATTTTTTCACAGGAGCTGAGAGCTGGGCAAGCTGACAGGCATTCATCTTCTGATTCAAAGTTGTTGAGGTTTCCTCCACAGCCACCGAAACGGAAGGTCTCACAGCGATTGGATTCAGCATTGAAAAACCATCGTTTAATAGCTCCTTCACAGTATCCCGAATCTTTCCTCTCATAGCAAACTTCCCCTAGAAAATATTGTAGAAGAATTACTTCAGCAAATGTAGGAGGCAAGCAAGCAAGATTACAATAAAAATATTTAAAAATAGGCTATAACGAAAAACAAGCAAGAGATTATCTGCTCTGTATGTATAGCTAACATGTCATTAGAGTGGATAAAAACTTTCAAAAATTAAAAAAATCTGTGGACTAGTAAATACCAGCCGGCATTTCCTGTTAAATAACAATACCAGTAAGATTGGATTATCCAAATAACTAGTAAAAATATAAAAATCAAACAAAACATGATGACAAATTAAGATTCTAGGTAAAGTTTGTTATTTTTGCGAAAGATGTAACGTCAGCTTTTGAAAAACATTTAATTCTAAGTACAGTAGTATTGTAATAATAGTGGCTAGTTCTTCAGTTTCTGTTGTAAGTTTTATGTTAGTTTTCAAAAAACAAATTAAGCAGAGACACATTTTCCTGATTTAAACATTTTAAACAATAAAAGTTTTCAAAGTACTGTAATGTATTCAGGTACATATTCCTGTGATTCGTAATTTATGATAGTTGTCATCCTCAAGTATTGCTCTTAAGAAATGGATAAAAGGTGTGTCATGCCAAAGATAAAGTACTTACGAGGTTTTGGGCAGCAGAGAGCATACTCTCCCAGGGGTGAGAGGTGACACTTATGGCTAGAGGGACAAGTGCTTCCCTCAGGACCACATTCTACAACGCTCTCATTTAACCTCAGAGGTGAGCCTGGACAAAGATATACAAGATAAGCAGAGAATAAGTCAACAATAATGTGGCTGGAAATTTTTGCTCCCTCTATGCTCTTCTCTCTCTTTTGTACTTTTGTCTCTTCTTTCTTTTTGCATCTATTTCACCCATCTTTCTTTCTGTCATTAGGCCTTCTGAAGTTTCCATTAATCTTATGTAATTAACTCACTTTCATGCTCTCACCTTGCCATCCCTCCTGCTATATATTAACTCTTTCTCTCTACCACTCTTATTTCACATGTGGGTTGGATGTCTAATGTACAGTATTAGACAAAATATTATACAAATATTAAATTCCAGATAAGTACAGTAAATGTAGTTGACGAGCATTACATTATATTTATGCTATTGGAGTGGTCTATGCTGACAGTAACAAGGAAAATGTCTTAATTTTCCTTGGAGCCACCAGGTAACATAGACCCCAATTAACTTAAGCAATCTGAAAATTGTCTAGTGAATTATATAAACTATTTTATGCAAATATCAGCTTACTGTTTCAGCCTGTATAGAGGATGTATGTAATGCTCTTGATGATTGTTAAAACAACAGCAAAATTGTAAGTTTTCTATTTTTCATTTGATCCCTTACTGATACCATTATATTACAGTACTGCAAATTTGAGAGGAATTATAATATACTTGATTCAAAAATATAATATACTTGATTCAAAAATTATTAATATAATAAAGCTACACTGTAAATTCAGATTGAATTATGAACATTTACTGTAGTACTTTTGTTTATCAAATGAATGAAGGCAAAAAGCACTCATACACAGCCCACTAAGAAACCTGGCATAAAAAGAAATAAATGAAAAATATTTTACTTTCAGACATAATACAAGGGCATATATATATAAATACAATCTACATGGGCATACATATATATTCATACACACCATATGGGCATGGGTTCTCTAGACGTGGCAGGCAGACAGGCAGGGGTGGGCATGGTTCATCCACACATGCCACGTGGACGATCCGGCACTCCTCCAATGGGGTGGCACAGGTCACCTCTTCACAAGGGTCACGGCAAGCACACGTGGGACAACCAGAGGCATCCAGACTATAGCCGTGTAGGCATGCAAGGTCGCAGTTCATAGCCGGGCAAACAAGAGGTTCCTGAAATTATTAAAAAACTGATTATCATGGGCCAGAACAAAAAATGAATCGCTCTCAGGAGTTCTTATTGTTTGATACTGTTTATCTACAGTGTATATATATATATATATTTTGTTTATCCACTGCATATACTGTATATGTACTCTGTTTATCCACAGTTTACATATTCTGTTTTTTCACTGTGTATATATACGGTTTATCCATTGAATATATATTCTGTTTATCCACTGTATATATATTTTCTGTTTATCTACTTGTGTACTTACATTCAGTTTATCAATTGTGTATAGAGTATTGTCTGTTTATCCACTGTGTATATATTCTGTTAATCCACTGTGTATATTTTCTGTTTATCCACTCTGAATATATTAAGTTTGTTCACTGTGTACTCACTATAGTCTGTTTATTCATTGTATGCGTTAACTGCAAATGATGCTGTCTATGCAATTTTCCAATCTAGATTTAATTGTAAAAAATACTCTATAAAACAGTTGATTTAAGTACAGTAGGATTATATGAATCTTGCTGCTGAAAAATCATCACAGCTTTATTGGCTCCCAGTCATTATTAATAAAATACATAACACTGAACACTGACACAGGATGCTATATGGCTGTACTGAAGTAGCGTTGAAGTAGATTCTAATCAGCATTTAAGAGAAAATGTGATGAAAATTTTAATGTTGAGAGAAGCAATTTGAGTGACAGGCATAGATGGTTTGTAGGCAGGGTATTGCCAAGTAAGCACTGCCATTGTGCTTTTTCTTTTGATAACTAATTGACACAATAAACTAACCTGGCAGTTAGGGTGTGCTGGCTGGCTGACCCGGGTACCTGGCACCTCTTGGCCCTGGGTGTCAACGCACCAACAGGTCAGTGTGGCGGGGTGACATTGTGTCGACAAGAAGGCTCCCGTTTCATCACACTGGGGAAGGTAGACACGTCCAGCTGGGATGCCAGCCTCCCGAGCACGGTGTTCCAGTAGAGTACGTTGGTGCTCACAAGCTGTTGGCATAAGGGTATTATATAAGGAGGACACACAGGAGAATATAGATTCAATACAACAATAACTAGAATAAAATGAGAATGAATAATCCAGTCTTTTTGAAGAAAAAACAGTTCCTATAAAATAATTAAAGTTTACTGCTATAAAAAGATAAAAGACAGCCAAGGACAAAGTCCAGATATCCACAAAATTACAAAATTATGAATCAAATGAAATTATTACAAAAATGAGGATGCAATATCTATTTGCTGGAAAATATAAAGTGAAACCTGGCCACCAGAGCTGACCTGTCATGACAATGGGCTGAAGGCACTGGGTCCCGCAGCCATTACTACAGCACTTGGCATCACCGAGGCAGTGAGAGTCCTCAGAACACTCGAGGTCACAGTTTCCACTCAGCACTGGCACTAGGAATGGACACTGTCCAGTTTTCTTGCCATTGCCTGCAAATTAAAGTAACTTATTATATTAAAATGTGCTTTAATAAGACTGTAAATAAAATTATTACTGTCCATATAGAATATTACAAACCACATCATCAGATTTGCAGATGACACTAAGATCTATGGCAAAGTGGGAAATTGAGACCTTACAAAGAGATCTACATGAACTCCACAAATGGTCAGATGACTGGCAAATGCTCTTTAATGTCGATAAATGCAAGAGACCATGCATGTGGGGCATAACAATCCATGCCACAACTACCAAACTGACAGCACTCCCTCACAATAGATATATAAAGAAAAGGACCTGGGAGTCAGAGTCCATCATTCACTAAAACATTCACAGTCAGCCAAAAAATGGCATTTCATTACAATCAATGTTGGTTTTCTGTGGGGAGCCCCATTGGCTCCCTGAAGCTAGCTTCCCACAGATAAGTAAAAACAGGGACTTACCCGGGAGGATGCAGCACAGCAGGTCACACAACAAAGATGAGACAACAGGCTGTGACAGACGTCCCAAAGCAACACAAGGCTACAGAGGGCCAGGAACTTTTACAAGATATCTGGCAGCCCTGTTCGATTTCCAAAACCCCTGTGCCCGAATATCGACCCAAGACATATTATTAAAGACAGCAGCAAGAGCTGTATACTTCCTCACATCATGGACATGAGTGTAGACCATAGGCTGGCTAGACTTAATAACCCTGCAGATAACCTGAGAGACAGCAGGGTTCCCTAACAGGGAACCAGGGAAACTGGGTCTACCCAGAGCACTTCTACTGTCGCTGAACCAGTAGCACACAGGTACTAACGTAAAGCCACAACCAGGCAAAAAACATGATGCAACCCCGGCCGAACCAACCAAGCATCAACAACCCATGGAATCATCCTGAAACCAGCCATCTCATTTTTCGCCAGAAAAGACAGAGAAGGCTGCAAACGAATAAAACGACCACCAGGACCAAAAATACAGAAACCCCTGCGCCAGAGAAGAGCCTGAAGTTCCCAATTCATCCCCCAGAGGCTAAAGCCAACAAGAACAAGGCTTTGAAAAACAAATTCTGGACCGAAGGGGCTACTACAAACCGAAAAGAAGAGAAACAAGAGCACCCAGTCCAAAGACCAAGAAGTCTCGAGCGTGCATGAGCAGGCCGTAGGTGAAAAAATGCACTAGAGAGCTTGTGGAATGGAGCGGAAGTGACATCCACCCAGAATGCAAGCCAGAGCGGCTCCACTAATGCAGCATGATACGAAGTGACAGTAGTTGGCACAAGACCCCAGTCAAGAAAAAACCAATGAAAAGAAAAGACAAAACAACCAGAACAGACACAGACGAAACCCTCCGAAGGGAAAGGAAATGACAGAAGTACCTCCAGGAGACTTCATACTATTGCTGAGAAGACGATCGCAGATGGAACACAATCATGAAGCCACCTGATTACCATACAAATGGTGTATACATCCGTGTCAGAAAAAACAAAAAAAATTCCTAAATCTAAATTAGTTTAAAATTATTGCTACAAGCAGTTGAAATTCAATGTGTGAACAAATCCACAAGGGCCGTGACAAGGATTCGAACCTGCGTCCGGGAGCATCCCAGACACTGCCTTAATCGACTGAGCCACCTTCAATGTGTGAAGGTACTGAATTAAATCAATGGCATAAATTTATTGCTGTACTATGTAGGCTTTGCAAGAATGTACCACTTAAATCCCAATACTATATATGCACTATCATAACCCACTGTATCTTCTTGTATATAAATAAATAAATCCATAATCCTATTTATTTCCTAAAATGTGAGTGAGTTTGCTAACTGTATCTTGTACTATTTTCATTGCAAGAAATTAAGTCACAAAATACCTGGACTTGGGCAGCAGACCCCCTCGATAGTACTGTCATCAGCAAAGCAGGAGTAGCCCTGAGGGCACTCAAGGGCCCTTGCCCGGGGGCTGCAGGCAAGGGTGGCGTTGGTCTCTGGCAGGGTGTAGGGCTCTCCGAGGGGGCAGGTGGGTGCTGCCGAGGCCTCCACCACAGGCACACACTGGGGGATGGCTGGACATACACCATCCACACATGGAATGTCCACCATTTGGCAGATGTGACTAGATGTGCACGTCACATCCTGGTAAGGAAAGAATGTTTTACTCATTGAAGAGATGTAATAGTTGCTAAGATCTACTTCTGTTGCATTGAAAGTTTGCTGGAAATGTTAAGATCTCTGATGAAGCTGAACCTTCTTAGTGTTAAGGGTCTCTGTAGCACTATACAGGTATATTAGATTTCCAAGCTACTAAATCAATATGATGGGTAAAAAACTTTTAATTACTATATTGAAGTTGTTTCTGAAGCCATAACATTACTATTGTGAAGCTACAAATAATATTATTAATATTGATGCTATGTGGGGAGTCCCCATTAGCTCGAATAAATCACCCATGATTGTCATATAGCATTAGATAGCAGTGAATCATTAATCAAACAGAACTGCTGACAATAGTAGTTATTAAATAATAATTACAATTCCACTTGAGCAATAAGGGGGACTATGGCATATATTATGGTGGTACTGATACACTAGTTTAAATACCACAGTTGTGCTATGATTGGTACAGAGGTGTTGAAGGAGCTGGACAAATAACAATACTTTATAGGACTGACAAACGACTGAAACAGACACCTGTGTCAGTCACTGATAAAGAAAGTACCTCAGCCCCCCCCCCCATGTCAGTCACTGATCAAGGTACCCCAGCCCCCCCCCATGTCAGTCCCTGATTAAGGTACCGCAGCCCCCCCCCCATGTCAGTCACTGGTCAAGGTACCCCAGCCCCCCCCTATGTCAGTCACTGATCAAGGTACCCCAGCCCCCCCCCATGTCAGTCCCTGATTAAGGTACCCCAGCCCCCCCCCTATGTCAGTCACTAATCAAGGTACCCCAGCCCCCACACCCCCCCTATGTCAGTCACTGATCAAAGGTACCCCAGCCCCCCCTCCCCTATGTCAGTCACTGGTCAAGGTACCCCAGCCCCCCCTTTGTCAGTCACTGGTCAAGGTACCCCAGCCCCCCCCCCTATGTCAGTCACTGGTCAAGGTACCCCAGCCCCCCCCCCTATGTCAGTCACTGGTCAAGGTACCCCAGCCCCCCCCCCCCACTATGTCAGTCACTGGTCAAGGTACCCCAGCCCCCCCCTATGTCAGTCACTGGTCAAGGTACCCCAGCCCCCCCCCCTATGTCAGTCACTGGTCAAGGTACCCCAGCCCCCCCCTATGTCAGTCACTGATCAAGGTACCCCAGCCCCCCCCCCCATGTCAGTCACTGATCAAGGTACCCCAGCCCCCTCCCCTATGTCAGTCACTGATCAAGGTACCCCAGCCCCCTCCCCTATGTCAGTCACTGATCAAGGTACCCCAGCCCCCTCCCCTATGTCAGTCACTGATCAAGGTACCCCAGCCCCCCCCCCCTATGTCAGTCACTGATCAAGGTACCCCAGCCCCCCCCCCTATGTCAGTCACTGGTCAAGGTACCCCAGCCCCCCCCCTATGTCAGTCCCTGATCAAGGTACCCCAGCCCCCCCCTATGTCAGTCACTGGTCAAGGTACCCCAGCCCCCCCCCTATGTCAGTCACTGATCAAGGTACCCCAGCCCCCCCCCCCCTATGTCAGTCACTGATCAAGGTACCCCAGCCCCCCCCCCCTATGTCAGTCACTGATCAAGGTACCCCAGCCCCCTCCCCTATGTCAGTCACTGATCAAGGTACCCCAGCCCCCCCCTTATGTCAGTCACTGATCAAGGTACCCCAGCCCCCCCCCCCTATGTCAGTCACTGATCAAGGTACCCCAGCCCCCCCCCTATGTCAGTCACTGGTCAAGGTACCCCAGCCCCCCCCTATGTCAGTCCCTGATCAAGGTACCCCAGCCCCCCCCTATGTCAGTCACTGGTCAAGGTACCCCAGCCCCCCCCCTATGTCAGTCACTGATCAAGGTACCCCAGCCCCCCCCCCTATGTCAGTCACTGATCAAGGTACCCCAGCCCCCCCCTATGTCAGTCACTGATCAAGGTACCCCAGCCCCCTCCCCTATGTCAGTCACTGATCAAGGTACCCCAGCCCCCCCCTTATGTCAGTCACTGATCAAGGTACCCCAGCCCCCCCCCCTATGTCAGTCACTGATCAAGGTACCCCAGCCCCTCCCCTATGTCAGTCACTGGTCAAGGTACCCCAGCCCCCCCCCTATGTCAGTCACTGATCAAGGTACCCCAGCCCCCCCCTATGTCAGTCACTGATCAAGGTACCCCAGCCCCCCCCCCCTATGTCAGTCACTGATCAAGGTACCCCAGCCCCCTCCCCTATGTCAGTCACTGATCAAGGTACCCCAGCCCCCCCTTATGTCAGTCACTGATCAAGGTACCCCAGCCCCCCCCCTATGTCAGTCACTGATCAAGGTACCCCAGCCCCCCCCTATGTCAGTCACTGGTCAAGGTACCCCAGCCCCCCCCTATGTCAGTCCCTGATCAAGGTACCCCAGCCCCCCCCTATGTCAGTCACTGGTCAAGGTACCCCAGCCCCCCCCTATGTCAGTCACTGATCAAGGTACCCCAGCCCCCCCCCCTATGTCAGTCACTGATCAAGGTACCCCAGCCCCCCCCCTATGTCAGTCACTGATCAAGGTACCCCAGCCCCCTCCCCTATGTCAGTCACTGATCAAGGTACCCCAGCCCCCCCCTTATGTCAGTCACTGATCAAGGTACCCCAGCCCCCCCCCCCCTATGTCAGTCACTGATCAAGGTACCCCAGCCCCTCCCCTATGTCAGTCACTGGTCAAGGTACCCCAGCCCCCCCCCCCTATGTCAGTCACTGATCAAGGTACCCCAGCCCCCCCCCTATGTCAGTCACTGATCAAGGTACCCCAGCCCCCCCCCCTATGTCAGTCACTGATCAAGGTACCCCAGCCCCCCCCCCTATGTCAGTCACTGATCAAGGTACCCCAGCCCCCTCCCCTATGTCAGTCACTGATCAAGGTACCCCAGCCCCCCCCCTATGTGAGTCCCTGATCAAGGTACCCCAGCCCCCTCCCCTATGTCAGTCACTGATCAAGGTACCCCAGCCCCCCCCCCCCTATGTCAGTCACTGATCAAGGTACCCCAGCCCCCTCCCCTATGTCAGTCACTGATCAAGGTACCCCAGCCCCCCCCCTATGTGAGTCCCTGATCAAGGTACCCCAGCCCCCTCCCCTATGTCAGTCACTGATCAAGGTACCCCAGCCCCCCCCCCCCCTATGTCAGTCACTGATCAAGGTACCCCAGCCCCCTCCCCTATGTCAGTCACTGATCAAGGTACCCCAGCCCCCCCCCCCCCCTATGTGAGTCCCTGATCAAGGTACTATATTTACTCAAGCACTCAACACTCACTCATCCTTTCACTCAAAACACTTAATTACTTTCAAGAGCAAAAACAACTCTTAAGAACAATGACCGGGAACCTTCAACAAGCCTCCAGCTTTCTGACCCAATCGAGGCCACTCGAGAGATGGTGGGCTCTAAGGTAAAACAAAGGTAAGTAAACAATATATATAAGTAAACAAGTGTCTGTCCGAAACGCTATGCGTGCTAGTGGTTTTACAAGAATATAAAAACATCAATGCTATGTACTCCCATAAACCCAATGCACCTTCTTGTATATAATAAATAAATAAATAAATAAATAAATAAATAAGTAAATAAATAAATAAATAAATAAATAAATAAATAAATAAACAAATAAATCAAAATATTCACTTACCAGGCAAGGGTCGCGACACTGGCAGAGTGGGCAGGCAGTGTCGGGGTCCAGCACGAAGCCGTAGTCGCAGCCAAGTCGACACAGCATCTCCCCGCAGGTCACAGCCGCGCGCGCACGATCGCACACCACCAATTCTCGGGACGATGCTCTGGGATGGGATGGGGGGGTTATGATGAATAGTAATAATTATGGTTACAATGACAACAGTATGAGCATCAATACCAACAATGCAATCATTAGTCTCCTTGACGTTATCTACTCAGCCCTTGACAAAAATGAGTTTCCGATTGGACTCTTCATTGACCTAAGAAAAGCCTTTGATACTGTTAATCACAACTACCTCTTACTTAAACTCCAGTATTATGGAATCCGAGGCCTTGCCCTTGACTACATCCGATCCTATCTTAGTGACAGACACCAATATGTAACCATCAATGATACAACTTCTTCCACTCTACCAATTACCGTTGGAGTGCCACAGGGCAGTATCTTAGGACCTCTTCTATTTCTTATATATATAAACGATCTGCCTAATGTCTCTAATATTCTCAAACCTATATTGTTTGCTGACGATACTACCCTTATCTATTCAGACCTCAACCCACATACACTAAATAATGTTGTGAATAATGAATTAAAAAAAGTCCACTTATGGATGTCAACGAACAAACTAACATTAAACATCGAAAAGACTTACTACATCTTATTTGGAAGCAAAACATCAAATGCAATTCAGCAACAGATAGACAACATTAACATCAGTAATAAAAATGATGGCAAGTTTCTTGGCCTATTCCTAGACAAGAGACTCAACTTCTGCACCCACATTCAACACATAACTAAGAAAGTCTCTAAGACAGTTGGTATACTCTCCAAAATCAGATATTATGTTCCTAACTCTGCTCTCCTCTCACTATATTATGCACTAATCTACCCCTATCTTAATTATGGTATCTGTGCATGGGGGTCTACCACTGCAAACCACCTTAAGCCCATCATCACACAGCAAAAATCTGCTATCAGAATAATAACTAACTCTGCTTTCAGACAACACTCAGCTCCCTTGTTTAAATCCCTAAACTTGCTAAATATTAACTCCCTCCACACATTCTCTTGTGTCAACTACATTTACAAAACCCTGTTCTTAAATGCAAACCATGGTCTGAAACTCTCCCTGGACAGATGTAATAGGACCCATTATCACCACACCAGAAATAAATATCTCTTTGATATCCCCAGGGTCAAGCTTAATTTGTGTAAACACTATGCAAATTAAGGGACCTAGTCTATGGAACTCACTCCCTAGTGAATTGAAAAACTGTAAAACTTTTGCCTTATTTAAAAGCAAAACCAAAAAGTACCTAATTTCATCTTCTTAGTTTCCTACACTGAGCTTTAAATTTGCTCTGTACCTAGTGTTACCCAATCTCCTAATTTTTATGTAGTATCAAACAACCTTATCATTGTGTTCATTGCTGTCTTCTTTTATGTGCTAGCCATATGCTGTATTGTGACTACCAATTTTTGTCAACTACCATTCAAGCTGTCATTGCAATCAATCTTATATTGTTTCTGCTGTATTGTGCCTACCAATTTTTGTCAACTACCATTCAAGCTGTCATTGCAATCAATCTTAGCTACCTATGTGCTTTAATATACTGTACCTACAATTTTCTCTCATCTTCTTTTTTTCATTCCATGTAACTGTTATCATTTTTTTGTCTATAAATTTTGCAAGTATTTACCTCCTTAAAATTTTCTTAGATTAAGGACCTGCCCGAAACGCTGCGCGTACTAGTGGCTTTACAAGACTGTAATTACCATATTATGTATCCTCACATTCCCAATGTACATTCTTGTATATGCATAAATAAATAAATAAATTCTTCTCTGGCTTCTTGGTAGTCTTGTTTCTTGTTGGCATTGCAGTGTTGTCGTTCGAGGTTGTGGGTATTGTGTCCAGGAGGAAATCTTCAGGACTGTAGTTGCACTTCCGTTGAGGAAGTGCCGTTGGATGGTGGATGGTGCTTCAACTGAGACATCTTCGTCTGACGAATCGTTTGAGTCAAAGGCAGAGGTGGTGGTCTTTAGAGGTTGAGTAGTAGCCGGTCTTGCAGCTAGAGTAGAAGGTTCAGTGGGCGTTCATGGGGTCTGCAGCGCGATGGTAGTAGATGGTTCTGAGGGGGGCATGGCGTCAGACTGCAGCTGTAGTCTGATGGTGGCTGGGGCTGTAGTTGGTGTCGTTGGATGTGAAGGCGTAGGTTCCCGGGGCTGCTTCCTCCACTGTGGCTGTTGGAACGGGTATTGCAGCAGTGGACAGTAGACCTGTGAGCACGGCAGCGTTCACAGTGATGCCTTGGTCAGAGGCCTGAATAAAACTCGTAGCTGGAGTAGAGGTGGTGTATATATGTAGATATTGGAAGGATATGAGGATAAAGATTTGGGATAGGATGGAGAAAAGGGAAGGTGCCCAACCATTTGGACAGTTTGGGATTAAACGCCAACCTGCAACAAGCGAGTCCGTTGCTATACCGACCAGTGCAAGTGGTTTGAATTTTTATCTGAATCTTACCTGGTGAGGGTTCTGGGAGTTCTTCTACTCACCAAGCCTGGCCTGAGGTCAGGCTTGACTTGTGAGAGCTTGGTTAGATTGAAGGAAAACAATTATTGCAATGAAAGCCCTGGTTGAAGGAATTAGTCAATTCATTAAGGGTTGCAAGACGAAATGTTGTTGATGCCTTCCCTTATATCATGAGGCTCTGGTGAAGCATGACGATGAAAAATCAATAGGTGGAACAACATAATTAGACTTTGAGAAGCTTGTGCTCTGTTAGAAGAGTGGAAGTACAACAGAGAAATGTAGAGTGCCAATGTCAGTAAATAGTAATATGGGAGAATGTAAGGAGACGGTTTGGCCATGTTAAATGAATGGATGATGAAGATGACACGAAGATAAAGTATTTACTTAAACATGAAGTAGGAGAGGAGGAAGCCCGATAAAAAGAAGAAGAGGGGATAATGTGTGAACAGCGCACCAGAGGTGGAAGGAAACAAGATTAGCTACCAAAATCTTGTTGAGTGAATGTTCGAAATGTCTTGAACACATTAACCTGAATTTACCAGGGTGTCATTACCTCCCTAATGGCCGTGATGGGGACAGGAAGCCTGTGGCTTATTAAAGGTCACTCCTTTCATCCTGAGGATTTTTTCTATTATGAACTTTATACTGAAATTTAAAACATTTTAAGCTAAACTGTAAAATGTCTTTGCATTTACAGATTTGGCGGGTAGGCGGTTCCATGGGTCTATAACCGTATGGGGTAAAACCATCTAGTGTTCTATGTTCTACATTGTGGCTTGTTGAGCTTAAAGCTGTTGTCGCGTGTATGTGTTACATTGGACCTCTTAAGGTATGGGTCTGGATTAATATCCTCCATCTTCTTCAGAGTATTAAAGGTCAATGAGATCAGCCCTCTCATGTCTGGTTTGCAGTGTTGTTAGTCCTGTGGCTCTCATCGTTTCTGGTATGAAATCTGGGTGAGTTCTGGGACGATTTTTGTCGAACGGTAATGTGCTGTTGTAGAGGAATTGTCGAAATGTTTATCTTTAATTTACTTGAATTCTACCTTGAGAACTCTTATATTTCCCCATGTCCAGGCTTGTCTTGTGGTAACATGCACGCACGACCACGTATTCATTGCAATATGGTTGACCCGGTTCATCTTTCCGGAACTTATCCATCTGCCAGCCAAATGATGTTGGTTCTGCGTGATGCAGTGTAATTTCTGCTCCGGATTAGTTTGTCCGGCCGGACTGATGCCTTCCCACCCGTTGAAAGTGAAAAAAATTGGGTGGTAATGATGATGTTGAATGATAAAAGACCACTGTCGTTACCCCTCCCCCCCCCACCATTTACGGGCTCACCATAGCCCGTGCTACATGGACACTCCATTCTGAGTAGTTAAATCTAAAACAACAACAACAACATACCCCCACCACCTCACACCCACAACAACAACAACATACCCCCACCACCTCACACCCATCACCCCTCCCCTCATTACGTACTTGGTGCCGGGGATCTGTGTGCCGAAGTCGTCGACGCACCAGCACTGGGCCAGCCCGTTACACTGAACCTGGTCATAGGCGCCGTTCTCGTCACAGGTGGGAGTGGGCACGGCCAGGGTCACGCCCTCCAGCTCCACCAGGTCACGCAGGTACTCGCACACTGTGGTCACAGGTCACATCAGGTCAAAACTCTTGGGTTAGGAACTAATCAGTGGCGCTCATTGGCTACTCACTACCACTACTACTACTATATCATTGCCCAGAGTGACATAGCCTGTAGTGATATCCTACTAATATATAAACATTTTCTATTGAGCGATAACTATTATTAGTAAATATTTTTACAACTCTAGAAATCTCTTGGTGCATACAAATTACTATAACATTATTTAATTAAAGCGAAAAACGCACACAGGAGATAGGGTACTCACTGGTTGGTCCCTGCAGAAGGCCGTGTTCAAGCGAGAGGTTCTGGGGAGGCTGTGGGGGGACACAGGAAGGGCCACAGCCTGGCACAACACAGCACTTTAGGTCATGGGCACACTCGGAGTCAGCAGCACACCGCGGCCCATTACACAGCTCAGCAGTAGCAGATCTCACGAACGGACACTGGCCAGGCTTGGTCGCTTCTACCCGTAGGAAGGGGAAAGAAAAATATAGGTAAGTTTCAGATTGATGATTGATGAAGATTAAGCCACTCAAAAAGTGGCACGGGCATGAATAGCCCGTAAGTGGTGGCCCTTTTGAGCCATTACCAGTATCAAGAGCTGATACTGGAGATCTGTGGAGGTGCGACTGCACCCTGCGTGACGGGAGATGTCTCTCGTCTAAGTGTCAGCTTTTTTCTCTGTATTTAGATGATTATATGAACATGGCAGTTTAGACAGGGAAAAAAAGTAGTGGAAAGTACGCCAGAAAGGTTCCGTTTTACTTTTCCAGACGGCTCTTTTAAGGCATATCATATTTTTTTAACGAAAAAGTTATAAATGATTATTATTTAACAAAGGTAAGAGATCATGGTTCCATTCATGAGCTAAATAAGATACACACAAAACAACTGTGATGGTCTCCATGACGGTTGGTTAAAACATACGTCATTTTAATGGTACTCAAAATCAGACTAATGTCAATAGTTTTTTTTGCGCTTGTGTCATCATTACCCTTCTAGAATATTTATAAAATAATTTGAGACCATATTTGGTGTTTTTTTTTCAGTCATCCCAATTATATTACATATCTCTCATTTCCATTACAAAATTGGAAAATTAAAAGGTAAATTTTGATACAATTTTTATATAAACTGATATTAATATAAAAATTTAATTTATATTAAATTATTTATATCCAAGTATATAGTGCATTTAATAATATAAAAAAATCTCGTTATAACATATTTTTAACTCATACACAGAAGAAATTTATACACGGTAATATTTTTTATTTTCATTATTTATTTTCTAAAAATCATGTATACTGGTGTTGAAATAAAGCCAGAGAAGGTATACACACTGAGAGGTGAAGCATACCACGTTCCTCGGTGAGACTACACTTAAGAGTTTACTATAGTTCTGGATTATGTTCAAGGAGACCTTTAAAACACTGAACAGGTTGAAGGGTATTAATCCAGACCACTTCTTTGAGAAGTCAAATGTTCCACCTACAAAGAAGCAACAGCTTCAAGTTCAACCAGCCACGATGTATGACAGAAAACTGGAGATGCGTTTTCACCCACAGGATTAAAACCCATGGAACTGCTTACCCGTCGAAGCTATAAATCCCCCCAAAACATTACTTCAATTTAAAATCCAGATAGAAAAAATTCTCTGGAATAATGGGGTGACCCTCGACCAACAGCCGACTTCTTGTCCCCTTTCGAGGCCACTAGAGAGATAGTGGCCCTCAGGTAAATTTAGGTAAAGTGTATTGCGTGTGGCCTTGCCTATGATTGAGACGACGGGGCAGCAGGCGGGATGGGCGTGGGGCGAGGCCGGGGGCGTGCACATGTGGTCAGACGGGCAGGGCGTCTCTGCGTCACATTGGGCCACCACCCCGCCCACAGACAGGGGCGTCAGACCGTTGGGACAGGCGGGCGGAGGCGTGGGCGTGGTGGTGGTGGTGGTGGTGGTAGTGGTGGTGGTAGACGGGTGCAGCAGCTCGTCTGAGTCGTTGGAGAGACCTGGTGAGAAAGAAGGAGAGGTGAGAGAACGAGAGAGGTGAAAGAGAACGAGAGAAGTGAGAGAGAACGAGAGAGGTGTAAGAGAACGAGAGAAGTGAGAGAGAACGAGAGAGAGAGGTGAGACAGAAAGTGATAGGTAATTAAACCTACTGTAAGTTTAACCAGTTTAAAGCATACAGTTTAACCAGTTTAGAGCATACAGTCTAACCTACAGTTAACTTATATAGTTTAACCACAGTGAGTCCGACACTGATTATTTTCGTACATATTTAGGCCTAAGCATGGGGGTTTATTATAGGCGATTGTGTTAAGTGCATCTAAGCTATGCGGTAATATTAGCGCATTATAACTACTTAGACAACTCAAGTTCCATGACACGTATTTAACTTTAAGGGGAGAGTCAACCCCCTGAACTTAAAGCACCGACGAGAAACAAAGTCACGCATCAAAGCATGTCCAACAATTGTTTGCAATGACACGCAAAGGCTCAGATTTTTCTGTTCACAAGTTTCAGGTCACAAGCTGGAGACCAGTGACGGAATTTAATTTAATTTGTAACCTTGCATATGTAATGAAGATCAACATGGAAAATATCAGCCTGACTGGATAAGAGGGTCAGGGGACATGGTCACGAGGAACGACTGCAGGCAGGCAGGCAGGCAGACAGGCAGACAGGCAGACAGGCAGGCAGGCAGGCAGGCAGGCAGGCAGGCAGGCAGGCAGGCAGACAGGCAGGCAGACAGGCAGGCAGAGGCAGGCAAGACACAGGTGGGGTAGGCAGACAGGTAGAACAGGCAGACACAAGCAGGCAGGTAGAACAGACATGCACGACAGACCTACCTTACCTTGAGGGGCAGACAAACAGGCATGTCATACATATAGGACAGACAGACAGACAGACAGACAGACAGACAGACAGACAGACAGACAGACAGACAAAACGACGATTATATTCATAGAATTAAAAAGCGAGAGAAGTATTTAGCGGAGGGGGTAGGGAGGTGTAAGGTGGAGGAATGGCTGGTGACGGGTAGGGGGAATGAATTGACAGGGGAGGAGGGCCCTATACTCACACATTGGGGTGGCGGAGCAGGAGTCGCCCTCACACCCGGGATTTTTCCTCATGACGCAGGTAGAGGTCTCCGAGCAGGTGAGCTCCTGGCAGGGGTCGTCGCAGTCGCAGGTGGGGCAGCCGTCGGCGCCCACCTGGTACCCATACTCGCAGGTGGAGGAGCACAGCGTGTCACCCGGGCACGGCCCGCCTTCTTCGCCTCCCGCTGTCGGGGACACGTTCAGTACAGACTCTACGTTATGGCTAAATAATGGCACGCGAACACCTAGTATTGCATTAAGATCATAATAGTTTTCCTTCGTGGCCGCTAACTGACCCATTGACACTATCGTATAGCAGTGGCAACCGTCTACTGACAGAGGGGGGCAGGCAATGATATTACCGTCTACCAGTGACACCCGTCTATCGTCATGGCGGCTGTCAGTGTGTTAGCAAACTGAAGAGTGGACAAATTATAGTCATCCCTGTAATCCTTGATCTACCGAAGGATTGCTTTACGACCACGTTGGTCTGTCGGATCAGGGCCCGCGTTCTGAAGGTCAGGGAGGGGAGGTCCCTACGTGCGTCTGATACGTCTAGCACACGGCCCTCATCATGGAAAATCTTGAAACTTGACTCGAGGATAGATGGTTGTGGCAGAGATGGAGCCATCACGATGATCTTATGCTGCGTGACCTTGAAGTTCCGGGAGCCGTAACTGGTGGCACTTCGGAATGAGTTAATGAACTAGACTCCGCTTTGGAGATGGAGATCTCCGGTCTCCGCAGATGGGGACAGGAATCTAGACCGTCGACTGCAAGTTGTGGGTCCCAAAGCAGGGTCAGGATTTTACTCTGTAACTTTTAAGTCACCAGTATAGACCTGTAACTAACACCGTCCTGTTTACTGTGCCAGGTTCATCCCTTCAAGTCTTGTTTCCTACGCTCTGCGAGGAACACCTTCAAGTACGCCAACAGATCAATATATATATAGATACTGTAAGCTTTCCAAGACGAGTCCGGAGAAGATAAGGTCTTAATGATCATCTTTGCCTCGCTCTCTTTCTTGTCGTCACCATCTGCTCCAGTCTCATGTCATTAGTTCAGTGTCAGCTCTCACAAAATTTAACTCCCTACTCACCAGTACAGGGAAGTAGATTTTAGTGAGGGCTAACTCTACAGCTTGAATGTGTGAAACTTGTATCTGCATGCGCTTGTATATGAAGCCCGTGCGTGCGTATGTGAAGCCGGTGCGTGCGTGCGTGCGTGCGTGCGTGAAGCATGTGCGTACATGCATACGTGCGTATCACTCGTGTTTGGGTGGGGAGTGCACAGGAACTCGGCCCACTGGTAAGGTTTACCAACTGCATAAGAAATTACCACCCAGAGTGGAGAAACATATGACACCACGTCGGGAAGTAAAAATTATTCACAAATGACCTGTACAAGTTGTGCTTTACAGTGAAAATATGGATAAACATATGTCGGTAAGACAGTAGGAAAATGCCAGTCTCATTCTCTCGACAATATAGTTGCATCACTAACACCACACATATGTAACTTTACCCATCTTAATCTTCACCACATAGCTCACTTCCTACCCAACAAACACTTATGGAGGCTGAGCTAAGCATCTCAATAATTTCTAAAACATTCTCTCCTCTAACACACACATTATTCTCGTTACTCTCACGTTCTCTTCCTTTCCTCCTCTCATCACACTCACTCCTTACCAAAATCTTACATTTTCTTCACACACACACACACGTTTAAAATGTAATTTATGGCACCACAATGAGGGGGTATGTTGGCACTGAGTACACGGCCCTTCTTCCCAATAGTTATGAGGGCGTATGTTGATATGATGTGAACACTCTCATTCCATTGTATTATGAGGGGTGTATGTTGGCGTGCACCCTCTTATAATATATTGTGAACGCAGTCCGCCACTAAGGTATGAGGTGTATATGTTGGCATGATAGGGGCACTATCCTCTTCTGAGTTATGAGGTGCGTAAGTTTACACCTCCCACTCCTTCTAGAGTTATGAGGCTTTTATTCTGGCGTACGCAAAAGCACAGGTTAAGAGTTCGTAAGTCAGCGTGACGCATGCGCAGTTAATCCCAACTGGTTTAAGGCAACGCAAAATGTATTTGAAAGATATATTTATATCGATATATATATAAAGAAATATCGGTATCCAACCGATACACACTAGGTTGTAACAGGAATTGTAGCCTATTCACCGCTGCCCACTGGATGGGGGGCGGTGTGCAGGCTAAACATATCAATTGTGACACTAGCTCTCCACATATATCAGTTGCTTTATTTAAAGACATCACTTGAGGTCAGCCTCGAGCCTATTAGTGATGTGACGATGTGTACTGAATTTTGTAACTAGCTCATCAAGACTGTAACTTGCTTAGCTAAATTAATTTTGGGGGTTCAGTCCCTGAGCCCATTATGTGCCTCTGTAACCCTTTCCCCTACCCCCCATAGGATGGGTATGGGGTGTATAATAAATGAACTAAACTAAATAAACCGAGTTACAGTCCAAAACCTGTAAAATACCGGACAGAATTCAGATGGTAAGCTACGGCAGGGATCGTATTGTTGCCATCGGGAGTGTTTGATAGATTCAATATAGTAAACACGCTTTAGTGTCAATATGCCCAACAAACGCATTTTCCCCCATCACTGGATATTTATTCTACAATCAGCGAGACAAATTTTGCAAATGTGGATACAACGATGTTCATATACAGTAGCAGGGCTCCAGGTAGTTGATATATAATGCACTACAATAGTGGGATTCCAGGTAGATGATGTATAATACGCTAGAATAGTTGGGTACCAGGTATTTGATGCAAAATGCACCGCATTAGCAGGCTTCCAGGTATCTAATGTACACTACTCTTCAGTAGTTGGGTGCCGAGGTGCTGCGAGAGTCTAGAGAGGCTGGTGACTGATCATTTCATTTCTCCTGTGCATCTTCCCTCTCCGTGGCTCTTTCTCTTTCTGCAGTCGTGCTAGACCTCAGTACTCTGTGTGTGAGCTGGCGTCTGTGTCAAGGGACTTTACGTATGCTCTGGCCACAGGTTCTGAGTGTCCACGCTTGTGTTGAGAGAGAGAGAGAGAGAGAGAGAGAGAGAGAGAGAGAGAGAGAGAGAGAGAGAGAGAGAGAGAGAGAGAGAGAGAGAGAGAGAGAGAGAGAGAGAGAGAGAGAGAGAGAGAGAGAGAGAGAGACTGAGAGAGAGAGAGACTGAGAGAGAGAGAGACTGAGAGAGAGAGAGACTGAGAGAGAGAGAGAGAGAGAGAGAGAGAGAGAGAGAGAGAGAGAGAGAGAGAGAGAGAGAGAGAGAGAGAGAGAGAGAGAGAGAGAGAGAGAGAGAGAGAGAGACTGAGAGAGAGAGAGAGACTGAGAGAGAGAGAGACAGAGAGAGAGAGAGACAGAGAGAGAGAGAGACAGAGAGAGAGAGAGAGAGAGAGAGAGAGAGAGAGAGAGAGAGAGAGAGAGAGAGAGAGAGAGAGAGAGAGAGAGAGAGAGAGAGAGAGAGAGAGAGAGAGAGAGAAAACGGAGGCGTATGTGGCAGAGCTCGCTGAAGATTCTCATATAAGACCAAATTATAAAAAAAAAACATATCAACGAATAATTTCAGAACAATCACCCCCCACACACAGGCAACAGAAACAAAACACAAGCGCTAGGCTATGAGAAGCGACGGATTGGGCACTTCGGAAAATCCAGACCGGACTGAAAACTTTCAGAGGAAAAGTGGTGGCAGGGGGGAGAGAAGGGGAGGGAGAGGGGGGGGGGGGACGATCCAGTTCAAGTTATGCACATAAATGTTGTTTGATTTTTCAGCCGAGCGGATGTCCGGTTGTCAGAGAAGCGGACCCGATGCGTTTGTCTCAACGACAAACAGCAACGGTTAAATTTGCCGTTTATAGTTACACGAGCTAGATCGACTTGGCATCTTTTTCTTTATTTACATTTGAGGTACGAATAGGGTGGGGAGGGGGAGGGGGAGGATAGATGTGGGGGATGGGGGTGAAGGGGAGCAAAGAGGAGCGGAAAGAAAATAGGTGAGTGAGAAGGAATGGGTAAATGTGAGGAGTCGTGGGGAGAAAATGTGAGAAGGGGTTGAGAAGGATGAGAGAGAGAGACGGTGAGGGAACTAGAGTAGGAAATGGATAAGTGAGGATAGAAAAGGAGGAAAATAGGGAATAGAAGAGGAGGAATACGACACTGCTGCAAAAGGACAAAATGAGGAAGCTAAGAGGCGAGACGTCATGACCGAGTCTAGTTAAGTTTACGCTAAGAATGAACTTGTCCTGTCCGTTCTCTTTGTTACATTATTATTTTGAATCTTATTCTCTTATTTGCATCAGTGAAAGTAAAAGTAGTAGTAGTAGTGACAGTAGAAAAAGTAGAAGCTACTACCAGTAGTAGACACACAGTATGCCAGATACCAAGTCCACACCCCCCCCCCGTCTTGACTGAGATATGCTCAGCTGAAAAAAAATTATCTGAATTCCAGACCACTTGATGATATACTGGACCCAATGTGTGTGTGTATATATATATATATATATATATATATATATATATATATATATATATATATATATATATATATATATATATATATATATGTCGTACCTAGTAGCCAGAACGCAATTCTCAGCCTACTATGCAAGGCCCGATTTGCCTAATAAGCCAAGTTTTCCTGAATTAATATATTTTCTCTAATTTTTTTCTTATGAAATGATAAAGCTACCCATTTCATTATGTATGAGGTCAATTTTTTTTATTAGAGTTAAAATTAACGTAGATATATGACCGAACCTAACCAACCCTACCTAACCTAACCTAACCTATCTTTATAAGTTAGGTTGAGTTAGGTAGCGGAAAAAGTTAGGTTAGGTTAGGTTAGGTAGGTTAGGTAGTCGAAAAAACATTAATTCATGAAAACTTGGCTTATTAGGCAAATCGGGCCTTGCATAGTAGGCCAAGAAGTGAGTTCTGGCTATTAGGTACGACATATATATATATATATATATATATATATATATATATATATATATATATATATATATATATATATATATATATTGCCCTTCTCCCTGTAAAGTTGAATGTCTGCAATATATGTGATGCACGGTAAAGTAATTATCCTGTTCCTAAATTCCCTGAATAATTATCCCGACGATGAGTTGAAGAGAGA